CTGGTGTGTGGACCCTCACACAGCAGGACGTGAGATCAGGATGGGCTCGGGCCGCAGCCCCCCGGCCCTGGAAGCCCTGGTGTGTGGACCCTCACACAGCAGGCAGCCGCCGTGCTTCTATGTCCCCGTGTGTCCACCTGGACATCCACCGTCCCTGGGTGGCCTCCGCCGCCTCTGCTCATCAGGCTGACCCTCTGCCACCCTGGAAGCTGGTGGTGTGCTGACCCTTCTCAGCTTAGTGACACCAGGAAGGAGCAAGTCTCAGGAGTGGCCGGCCAGCAAGGAATGCGTGGTTTCCTGTTTCCAGTGCTGGAGGGCCAAGTGCCTGCGGCGGCTTGTCTCCACATGGGTAGGAAGCGACACCTCTGCTGATTTGACCTTCACACAGGCTATGGTCAAAGGGGCTATGGGGCATGGGTGGGTGTTGGGGGGTTCTGGTAAGGGAGTGGGAAAGTGTGTGCAGGCATGTGTGCACACACACTCGAGGGTGCGCACACACTGGGGGACAGACCCAGAGAAGCCACCCTGCGGGTGCCTGGGACCCCCCCCCCCGGGGAAGGCCCGAGGCGATGGGGACCTAGAACCAGGCAGGGCCCAGCGTCCAGGCCCCGGTGTAGCATGGTAATGACTCAGTGAGGATCTCCTAGCGAAGTGTGTGTGCACAGAGGTGCGTGGGTGGAGGTCTGTGTGGAAGTGTGTATGAGTAGAGAGGTGTGTGGGCAGAGGTTGTGTGAGTGTGTGTGTGTGTGTGTGAGAGAGAGAGAGAGAGAAGAGAGAGAGCGCGTACCACCTGGAGGGCCTGGGCTGGGGACAGCGGGTCCCACAGACATGAGGGGTGGAGATTGGGAGGGGCTGGGCAGGTGGGCTGTGACCTCTGCGTGGCCTTCCCTGCAGGTGTGGAGTGGGCTGGGGGGCTTTGGCAGGACTCTCCCTGGCTGTAGGGCAGTGTCTGGGAGGCCAGGACAAGGCAGGGCTGTGGGTTCCAGGCTGCGGCTTCTGGAGTACGGGCTGCGGGGCTTCAGGCTCCGGGGCTGCGGGCTCTGGGCTCTGGGCTGCGGGCTCTGGAGCTGCGGGCTCTGGGGCTGCAGTCTCTGGGACTGCGGGCTGCGGGGCTCCAGGTTGCGGGCTCCGAGCTGTGGGATGTAGGGTCTGGGGCTGCAGGGTCTGGGGCTGCGGGCTCTGAGCTGTGGGCTCCAGACTCCGGGGCTGTGGGCTCCGGGTCTGCGGAGCTCTGGGCTTCGGGGCTGTGGGCTCTGGAGCTGCGGGCTCCGGGGCTGCAGGTTCCAGGCTGCAGGCTCAGGGCTGTGGGCTCTGGGGCTGTGGGCTCCAGGCTGTGGGCTCCAGGTCTGCAGGGCTCCGGGCTGCGGGGCTGCAGGCTCAGGGCTGCGGGCTGTGGGGCTATGGGCTCCGGGTCTGCAGGGCTCCGGGCTGCAGGGCTGTGGGCTCTGGAGCTGCAGGCTCTGGGGCTGTGGGTTCCAGGCTGTGGGTTCCAGGCTGCAGGCTCCAGGGCTGCGGGTTCTGGGCTCTGGGGCTGTGGGCTGCAGGCTCCAGGCTGCGGGCTCCGGGGCTGTGGGCTCCAGGGCTGTGGGCTCCAGGTCTGCAGGGCTCCAGGCTGCGGGCTCTGGAGCTGCGGGCTCCGGGGCTGTGGGCTCCAGGGCTGTGGGCTCCGGGTCTGCAGGGCTCCGGGCTGTGGGGCTGTGGGCTCTGGAGCTGCGGGCTCCGGGGCTCCGGGCTGCAGGCTGTGGGCTCTGGAGCTGCGGGCTCCGGGGCTCCGGGCTGCAGGCTGTGGGCTCTGGAGCTGCGGGCTCTGGGGCTCCGGGCTGCAGGCTGTGGGCTCCAGCAGTGCTGTCGCCTCTCTCAGTCAGGGCCTCCGTCAGGTTGGATTCGCACTCTGAGCTCTCTGCCACCGGCGGCTCATCTGAGGCCAGCGCAGCCAGCTGGCTGGAGTGTCCCTGTGGTCAGCGTGTGCGTTCTTGTCATGGGATGGGTTCCGGTTGAGCCGCTGCTCCCTGAGCAGCCGGGTCCTCCCACTGGAACCGCTGGAGCGGGGCTGGACAGAAGCTGTGCGGTGTCCGGGACCCCACTGCACCCTGCAGACTGCAGCCCGCCCAGGCTCCAACCACAGGAGGGGGCGTGGCCAAACAGCGCCTACCGAGGTGATGCTTGTGAGACCCCCATGTGCTGCGTGGACTCTGCCCTCAGTCTGTAGCCTCCTCTTCCCAGGAACATTAAGAGCCAGCTGGGGTCTCCACGGCCCCCTGGGGAGGGTTCCTCCAGCTGGCCCCACTGAGCTGAATGCTGAATGGAGGGTCCCAGCAGGCAAAAAATGGGAGACTTAACTCCAGGTGCTTACTGAGCCACGGGTAGGTCCAGCACCCCGTGGTTCTACACATTTTCAGGTGTGCTGAGCTGCGGCCTCTGCCTGGGCCATCTCCGTGTCGCTGCTCTGCGGTGCCCCTGCACTGGGTTGGTGAGTGGGCCTGGGTCTGGGTCTGGAATACTGACCTTGGCCAGGACTTGGTACCTCAGGTTGGACCCTGTGTCCAAAGCAGGGACTGGACTCGACCTCGCATACCTCCATCCAGAGAGGGGACTGGACTCAACCTGGGTTCCCATGTTTGGAGAAGGGACTCACCCTGCGCCCCTGCGTCTGGGAAGGGACTAGATAGGGAAAGGTGCTAGATTAGCAGAATACCTCCCATCCTACCTGGAAAGAAGGTTCCAGGCTAGTGGAAGTCTCACCTTGCCTACCTTGCAATCTGGAAATGTGGCCCCACACAGACCTGGATGAATTTGTTAGTCTGGTGACTTTTTTTTTTTTTTTTTAATTTTAATCATGGGGCTTGAACTCAGGTCCTGAGCACTGTCCCTGAGTTGGTTTACTCAAGGTCAGCACTCCACCATTTGGAGCCACAGCTGTACTTCTGATTTTCTGGTGGTTCATTGGAGATAAGAGTCTCACGGACTGGGCTGGGAAGGTGGTTCAGTGGTAGAGCGCTTGCCTTGCATGCCTGAGGCCCTGGGTTCGATTCCCCAGCACCACATAAGCAAAAAGAAAAAAACCAGAAGTGGCGCTGTGGCTCAAGTGGTAGAGCGCTAGCCTTGAGCTGAAGAGCTGAGGGACAGCGCCCAGGCCCAGAGTTCAGGCCCCACAACTGACAAAAAAAAAAAAAAGAGTCTCACGGACTCTCCTGCCCAGGCTGGCTCTGAACCTCGATCCTCAGATCTCAGCCTCCTGAGCAGCTAGGATGGCAGGCGAGAGCCACCGGCGCATGGCTGGCTTGGTGTTTTGACAGCAGGCCTGGACCTCCTGGTTGATCCTCTTGCCTCAGCCTCCTGCATGGATATTGGAGCACACCACCGCGCCTGGCTTTGATCGCTTCTTTATGTCAGGGTTCCCTGCCTGACACATGAGGCCTCCCGGCTTGCAGACCTGTCACAGTGCGTGGAGATTGGAGCCGCGTGGTGGTGGGCTGGGTACTCACTGGAACCCAGTGCCTCCTGGGTCAGGGGGTGGGGGTCTCTGTGCTGCAGGGGTGAGGTTGTAGGGAGGCCGGTGCATGCCTGGGTCCGTGGACATCTCTAATTCTCTGCTCGTGGCCGTGGTGCTGTGTGTCTCACTCAGTCCTGAGAGTTGTGTGGGCCCCGAGTTGGCACACAAGAAGGGGTGCCCAGGCCTGCTGGGCTAAGCACGGCCTTTCCCGGGGCCTGCAGGTCGCTGGGGCCGTGGCTCAGCCTGCCAGCCATTGCCGAGGAACAGAGTCGTGTGGGTATAGGAGTTGGCCAGCCAACTCTCTGTCAGCTGGGTGTGGTTGGGCTGCAGGGACACGCCCTCCCATTTCCCCCAGCCAGCGGCCATCCCGGGCCGAGGCTCGAGGCTCGTTGGTGAACGAGGGCCCTGACAGGATGCTATGGCCTGGTAGTGCAGTGTTTGCCTCTGAGCGAGTTCTCTCCCCACTTCCCTCCCACCATGGGCAGTGGGTGGGTCGCCCTTCTTCCCGTCCAGTGAGGAGGAAGAGGGGCCAATGTGGAATCCGGTTTATCCTGGTGCCTCCTTTGTTTCGTCTTGCTTTCCACCACGCTGCCAGGAGGGCCTCAGTGCCCCTTGCTGTCAAAAGGCTGCCGCTGTGCCCCTGTCCCCGGCCTGCCGGGGCTTGGGGCTCCCACGCGCAGGGACTGGGCACGGTCACTTGGCTTCAGTCCTAGTGAAGCTTTTAGCTGAAGATGGAGCCCACCTGCCCCAGCGAAGGTCGGTGCTCCTGCTGGGCTTGGATGGATACCCTTGCGTCTGTGAGGGGGGGGGAAGGCCGTGTGTCCTGGGGCCACTTCCTCATGCCGAGGTGGGCAGGGTGGACGGGATGGACTCCGTGGTCGTGGGGCTGTGGTGTGGAGGAGTCCTGCATACCCAGCTCAGAAACAAAGGAAGTGAGTAGGAAGCGTCTGGCGTCTTGACTTGGGCGGCTCCAGAGCTGCCGGCCTTGGTGACCCCGGCCCCTCCCCTCTCCCAGGCCACCAGTCTGGGCTTTCTAAGCTCCATCCCTGCCTTCCTCTGCCCAGCATCCTTCCCCAGCTGCCTGCGGCCCTGCTCCGCTTGTCTCCGGCCTCACTGGAGGGGGGGGGATTTCCAGGGGTTCCTGCACCCCATCCCTGGACCCTGTGTTGTACACTCTGGGGGCTCACCCACCAGCCCAGCGCCCCTGCCACACAGCCACCCCCGGAACCTGGCAGGCACACGGTGTAGAGTTGATGCTGCTGGGCCGCTGAGTGCTGGGCTGTCCTAGGGGCAGTGGTGGCTGGTGAAATGCCTTGTCTTCTGTTTTGCACCATTATTTGAGTGTAAGCAAAGCAGGCCTCATCCTTGCTTCCGGTGGCGGCTTCCATGTGGGGGGAGCCCCAGTTATCCGCTTCTTCTCAGAAGCTGGGCCCGAGAGCTGCACCCCCAGCCAGGGTAGACCTGGGAGGGCCATAGTGTGAACGCTGCTCCCCTGCTCGCTCCACAGAGGAGGAGCTCCGGAAGCTTCGAGAAGAAACCAACTCGGAGATGCTGCGGCAGGAGCTGGACCGGGAGCGGCAGCGGCGGATCGAGCTGGAGCAGAAGATGCAGGAGGTGCTGAAAAGCAGGTAGCGCTGCCTTTGTTATTTTCTGGGACAGTAACAGAGCCCCGGGTCTGGTACTGATGAAGAAAAGAGGTTTTTAGCCGCAAGACAAGACGGGGTCCTGGGCCCCCCCGGCCTCCCCAGCCCTGTCTCCAGGGACCTCAGATCCATACACTGCAGTCACACCTCATCCCTGGGGGAGCTCCCTTGGGATGATGGTGCCTCCTTAGCCCCCGCAGGAGTGCTCTCCGGATCAGGACCCTGCCACTGTCTGCAGAAGCAGCTTGTTCCGGAACAATACAGCACTTTACAAGGCCAGCACATTCTGCCCGTCCCCCAACCCACGAGACCGTGTCTCCTGCGCGGCATCCCAGTTGGCATCTGTGGATGAGGCCCGGGACGGGCCTCTCCATCTCTCAACAGCTTGTGGCACGGGCTGCCGCTCCTGGGACACCCAGCCAGACCCTGGCTTTGTCCTGGAGGCTGGTGTCCACACTGTTAGGATTTTGTCCTTTGACGTAAACCTGCTGTGGGCCGTGTGTGTGTGCGCGCAGTCCAGGGCTGGCTCTCGTGTGGAACGTGGCCATGCTTTGGTCTTCCCTGACTGGGTCACGGGGGGAGATTCTGAGGAGGGAGATGGGCTTGTTCCAGCCCTCCCGATGCTTCCAGCAGCCTGTCTCCCCAGCCCCAATCCAGTCTCTGAGGCCAGGCACCGGGCCAGACGTGAGCGCCAAGCCCCAGCTGGGTTTCCCCTTGAGTTGACCTTCAGGGACTTGGTAGGAACTTGAGCACTGCACCCACTTGGCTGTGCATGGAGAGGCAGGACCTGGCCTGTGCCGGGAGATCCGGGGACTGGTGCGTGGAGAGGCGGGGCCTGGCCTGTGCCGGGAGGTCCGGGGACAGGCGGGGTCTCTAGGCCCTTGGCCCGGAACAGGTGCACTCTCTCCCACCAGCCCAGGTGTTCGGTCCACTTCTCCTGGCGTCCGGGCTCCCTCTGCTGGCGCTGGCAGCTCCCCCAGCCTCAGGCCCACCCGGTCCCCACCTCCTAGCAGCAGCACCAGGTTTTCTGCCCACCCTTCCACCGTCCCTGCCCCGCCTGGTCCAGTCCTCATCTTTCACCCCTGGCAGTGCGCGTGCCCAGCTCTGCCAGCCGTGCCTCGGTGCCGAGGGTACAAAGGGACCTCCTGCGGGAGGCTGGGAGGGAGCATTGAGGTCATGACTCAGGAAGTAGAAATGGAGGGTTCTAGGAGCAGTAGAGGCCCCTCCTTAGCTTTTCCTGGGACCATATTCAGAATCCTGCAAGCCTGAAGATGAGGTGGGAGGAGCAGGTTGGGGGAGCGGGAACCTTCCTCTTTCCCATCATGCTGTTCAGGTATGGCTGCAGACATGTCTTCACGTACACACACGTGCGTGCACACTCATGTGCACCTGCACACACCCAGCCCATGGCTTACTCTCTATGCTCATGTCACACCTCGAGAAGACTACAGGTCCACTGCACTCATGTTCAGACCTTTTATCTGTGTGTGTGCCACTCCTGGGGCTTGAACTCAGGGCCCGGGCGGCCCTGAGCTTCCTTGCTCAAGGCTAGCGCTCTACAACTTGTGCTACGACCCTCCACTTCTGACTTTTTTTGGTGCTTAGTTGCCTGTGATGGCTTCGAACTGCCATCTTCAGAGTTCAGCCTCCTAAGTAGCTAGAATTGCAGGTGTGAGCCAGCAGCGTCTGGTTTTAATACAATGCCTGGCAAATCGCCTGCCCTGTGCCTGCCTAGTGGGTGAAGGCCCTTTGGTTACGTCCTGCCATCTGAGCGAGACAGCTCTTCTCTCACCCAGGCTGTGGTCAGGTCCCTCCCTGAGCCTTCTGAGGGTCTCCCTCACTTCTCAGCCCCCATGCTCCCTTCCACAGCGGCCCAGAGCTGGGAGGGCTGGATGCTGGAGCTGCAGCCACCTTGGCCTCTGTTGCGCGCCCCTCCCCCGGCAGGGCGTGGCGGGGTGGCTGTGCGTGCCGAGGCCGGGCAGTGCCGCACGCAGCCCGGTGGCACCGCAGCACAGCGGGCATCACACAGCGTGACCGGCTCGGCTCCCTCCTTGGTCACCAGGGTCAGAAACAGACCTGGCAGAGGCGGCAGGGCACGCTCCACTCTGCCCAGGACTGTTGGGCCATCGAATGTCCGGCCGCTTAGGAGGAACCAGTCGGTGTTGAAGTACAGTGGGCCTCTCCCCGGTCCACCAGATCAAGTGGTGGTCACGTGGTGGTCACGTGACTCAGGTCAGCAGGCCCCTCCCATGTCTCAGAGGCTATGAGGGCCACTTGCTGTACTGCTCCACCAAGAAGATGCTTCGAGCACTGCTGTCCCGGCCTCAGATTGTAGGAGTCCCCGCAGCGCTGGGACGCCGTCCCGAGGCCCATGTCCCCACAGTGACGGCGCCTGCCCCGTGTCGGGTGTTCTGTGCCCCACTCCCGCCCCTCGCAAGGCAGAGGGCGGGGCCTGTGCCTCTCACAGCCCACGCGCTGCGGGTCAGCGGCTCTGTGTTATTAAAGGCCAGACGCGTGGGACAGTCTGCTGCACGCACCTCAGGACCCCACGAGCCTCCCGAGACTTTGTCCCCTCAGGGCCAACGGGGCTGAGGGCAGCTGGCATTCACCCGGCCTTCTGTCTCTGTGTGCCCACCTGGGCCCAGCCCCAGCACAAGCCAGCTGTGCTGCGCTTCCTGGGAGAGTGTCCTGGTCCATCTGCCCAGCAAGGGGGGGGGAGCTTGGCTCAGGCAGGCTGGGGAGGGGCGCAGCGGCCGCCCTCCTCCACCACCATGTCGGGCCCCACCCATCTCGGTGTCTCCCTCCCTCCACTGCTCCCCGAGGCTGCAGCCCTCACCAGCGCCGGCCCCAACCCACCGCCCTGCTCGGCTGCCCCGGGGACCAGTCCCGCACCCTGGGGCCCGCACAGCCTGGCAGTCACGGGTCACAGACAGAAACCACCCACCCCCACCCTCACCGCCTGCCACCCCACCAGGCTCACTGGGGGCCCCGGGACACTGGGGGCTCTGGGTGGTGCATCCATAGCTCAGGTGAGCATGGGGTGCGGAAGACACAGGTGGCAGAGAACCAAGACAGAGGTCCCAGCTAGGGGCCGGGACCCCAGCACCCCGCGAGGCTGGGGCTGAGGACGATGAGGACACACAGGCTGGGACCAGGAGCCAGACTGGCCTGGCCCAGCTGGGCCCAGGGGCGGCCGGCAGGACATAGCAGTGGCCTCCCACGGTGCCGGGTAAAAATATGTATCTCAACAAGCTGTCTATTCTGAGCTCCGTGATGGAAGAAGCCTCTGTACTAGAACTAACGAGAGACTTGTCTGTTCAGGAGACACTGGCTTTGGTCGTGGAGCCAGAATGCGTGTGTGTCGCTGTGCCGCTCTGTGCTTGCCGGCCACCGCCGGCCTTCCGGCCTGTGGGAGTTCAGCCCTCACGAACCTAAGCCGGGCACAGCCGCCGGGCAAGGGCTTTGCACTTACACGAGTCTCATCTCTCTTGCCCTAAGGTCGGAAGAGCAGACAGTGCAGGCTCAGCAGCCACCGAAGGGGCCAAGCCAGGCCGGCAATGGCACAGGTAGGCCGCGTGGCGAAGGGCGCCGCGTCTGCTGCCGGGCTGCTTGGGGGGCTCCTCCTCCCCCCATCAGGGTGGGATCCAGTCTCTCCCTCGCCAGGGGCTGTCAGCAGACAGAAGCCCTTCTACCCGTGAAGCGTTTCCCACAGAAGGGCGGCCCAGCACCTGTCTCAGCCTGGCCCTGCCGCTGGGCGTCGGGTGCTCGGCATGGTCACGTGCTGCCCCGTGTCTGGTCATCTCAGCCAGGGGCTCCGCAGGCCGCAGCCTTCCTGGTGGGACAGGCCCGAGGCCCCGCGGGGGGAGCCCTTCCCTCCTGCCCTTCTCCCCCCTGAGATGAGGTTGCTTAGCATCCCCACGCTTCACATTCTGAAGTTTCCTTTCAGTGAGGCAGGGAGCGCTCTCCTTTGGCCCTCATGGTCCCTCCTGGTGGCTCTCTGCTCATGGGGCCTCCCTGCTGGTGCTGGTGCTGGTGCTGGTGCGCCCCTTCCTCCACATGGAGGCCCAGGAGGCCTTTCCTTGGGCGCCTGGCTCTAGGCCTCACTCCACCTCCACTAGTGCTCCCCGAGATGAGGACAGACCGGCCAGCCGCTGTGTCCCCTGGGTGGAGGCCTCCCTGGGCCTTCAGGGTCCGTGGCCAGTGGTCCAGGCTGAGACTAAAGCCGATGGACTAGGAACAGAACAGAGACTCAGACTCTTGGTGTCTGTTATTGGTGGGGGGGTCCAAGAAATGTGGGGCAGGAAGCCCCCTAAGTCCTGGCCCTTCCCAGCTGGCTTCTCCCCGGTTTTCCCATCAGGTGTGACCCTCAGGCCAGCCGCCTCCTGACTGCTGACCTCTTCGGCTATCTAGGGAGCAGGGGGGAGGGGTGCCGCCCCCCTGCTGAGAGGACTGTGGGGAGGGCCAGGCGCTGGAGCTGTCATGTTCTGGAGGGGTGGAGGGTCAGTGGAGGGTCAGTGCTGGCCCAGGGCTGGGCCCAGGCTAGCCTGTGTTGGGGATGCAGCACTTCAGGGCGTTCACTCCTCAGAGTTAGCGTTGGGGGCCTGTGAAGGACATGAAGCAGGGACCTCAACTTCATGCTCAGTGGGGGGCCTCAGGGCGAGGGCTGACCCGGGCAGCAGACCATGTTCCCTGGACCTGGGGTCAGCACCTTGTAGTGTCTGTCTAGTTTTATATTTGAAATTGTTTCATACAATTTGAAATGGTTGAAAAACTGAAGGAAGACGATGTCAGCTTTCCTCTCTGGAGGCGGAAGCTCAGCGTCTGTACATAGTTCCCTAGAGCCCTGGTCGGGCCATGTTTAGTGACCACCCTGTGCTCCTGGGCCAGTTTGCTGCCCCCCCCCCCCCCAAGCCCTGCTTGGCTGCTGTGGACTGAGAGGCCCCAGGAGCCTGCCCCACCCTGTCTGCCTCCCCCCGTGCCCTCTGGCGGCCCCAGAAGGCACAGACCTCAGGCCTGGTTGCTCTTTGACTTGTGCCCCAGCCTGAGGCACCTGGGGTTTATGATGCTCACTCAGCATCTGCCCCGGGCCTGCAGCACACCCGACTGTTTGCTTTAATTGCTGATGGACACATAATATCTGTACGTGTTTATGGTTCAGTGGGTGTCTGTCATGCATTCCTTCTCCCACAGCGCCCCCTGCGGGCAGCCTCCACACCTGCTCTCTGGGGCTCTGTGGCACAGCCTGTTTGTGCAGGGCGGCGTCCAGCCTCGTGTTCTGTGGTGTGGGTTGCTTCCTGCGGTTTTAGCTGTGGGTGAGCTGAGTGTGAGTCACACTCCAAGTCACCGTGGGCTCAGCCTCCACTGGCAGCCATGTCACTCACTGGGCAACCCCGGCCCTCACGGGGTACCCCGACTCCCCAGCACACATGCACCGTGGGTCCTTAGGATCTTTTGGTGGCACTGTGGCGCCAACAGCCACTTTCCAGACAAATCAGACCTCCACGGAGGGCTGAGGCACAGCCAAGAGCCGACGGTTAGGGGCCGAGTGTGAGGAGAGGCGTCTGTGGCAGGCGTCTGTGGGAGGCGTCTGTGGAGGCGTCTGTGGGAGGCGTCTGTGGAGGCGTCTGTGGGAGGCGTCTGTGGGAGGCGTCTGTGGAGGCGTCTGTGGGAGGCGTCTGTGGAGGCGTCTGTGGGAGGCGTCTGTGGGAGGCGTCTGTGGAGGCGTCTGTGGGAGGCGTCTGTGGGAGGCGTCTGTGGGAGGCGTCTGTGGAGGCGTCTGTGGGAGGCGTCTGTGGGAGGCGTCTGTGGGAGGCGTCTGTGGAGGCGTCTGTGGGAGGCGTCTGTGGGAGGCGTCTGTGAAGTCGTCTGTGGGAGGCGTCTGTGGAGGCGTCTGTGGGAGGCGTCTGTGAAGTCGTCTGTGGGAGGCGTCTGTGGAGGCGTCTGTGGGAGGCGTCTCGCAGGCGTCTGTGAAGGCGTCTGTGGGAGGCGTCTGTGGGAGGCGTCTGTGGAGGCGTCTGTGAAGTCGTCTGTGGGAGGCGTCTGTGGAGGCGTCTGTGGGAGGCGTCTCGCAGGCGTCTGTGAAGGCGTCTGTGGCAGGCATGCCAGCCTGGTGTGCGCTTCTTGGTTTGCATCTTGTGCCTTGGGGGGCTGAGCCCTGCCTGTCCTGCTCCTTAGTAGCCCTGCCCCCCATTGCCTGGGCCCTGCCCGGCAGGCTCTGCCGGGGGGGCCCTCCCTACCCCAGCTTCCGGGGCCCGCCTTCCTACCAAAGGGGGCCACGTGGTGTGCAGTGACCCCCGCCCGCCCACCCCCTCCTGCAGAACGGCGCGGCCAGGGACTGTCCTCGCGCGTGCACAAGTGGTTCTCGGAAAAGTTTGGGGAGTATGTGGAGGACTTCCGCTTCCAGCCCGAGGAGAGCACGGTGGAGACCGAGGAGCCCCTCAGTGCCCGCAGGTAGGGGTGCTGGGAGCCCTGAGGGCCTCGTGCCCATCTTCCGGGGACCTCCCCGGTGGGGGCCTTCAGGCCAGCTTCGGAGGGAGCCACATCACGTCCCACGGGGGTCTCGCTGTGCTTTGTGACCAAGGCCGCCAGGGGGCAGCGTGTGCGAGGCCCAGTCCCGCGGCCAGGACTGGCGGGCCCGTGTCCCAGCCGCGGACATCGGCTCCCCGGCCAGCGTTGTTCTGTCTGCTCTGAGGGCTCCAGGCGCCCACCGTCCTCCCTGCTGCCAGGTGCTGGCGGGGTGCGGGACGGCGGGCATGCCCAGCGGACGGCTGAGTTAACCCTGGCCTTTCTCCCCCTCCCTCTCGCAGGCTAACTGAGAACATGAGACGCCTGAGTAAGTGCCGTGCGGGGTGGAGGGAGGGTCCGAGCCAGGCGCGTGCACGCGTGCGTGTCTGTCTGTGCGTGTCTGTGTGTCTGTGTCTGCAAATACTGGGCCTTGAACTTATGGCCTGTCTCTCCCACTCGGATTTTCCTCTCATAGCAAGCGCTATACCACGTGAACCATGCCTCTCCTCCCAGCTTTTTGCTGGTTAATTGGAGATGAGTCTCCTGTGAGACTGGCTGGCTTTGAACTCAGTCCTCAGATCTCAGCTCCTGAGTAGCTGGGTTTATAGACATGAGCCACTGGCCTGATTTAGAGCTGTCCTGCCCAGCCTTCCTGGGGAAGAAAGCCCGTGGCAGAATTGGAGCCAGATGCTCTTCTCCAAAGCTTCTAATGTCCATGTGAATGAAACACCGCCCCTGCCTCTGCCCCTTCCCCTTCCTGCTTCCCACCAGTGGGCCAGCGATGGGGCCGGCAGCAGCTCCCCCAGGGACTGCAGACAATTACCAGCATCAGGCGAGGAAGGGAGCTGTGGCCAGTCGGTTCTTGGGTAGCTCCTGTGATTTCCCTTTAGGCCGGGAGGCCAGCCTGACTCCGCAGGTGTGCTGATGGCTGGCCCAGTGTCATTCTGATCATTACGGTCTGTTCTGTCCCCAGAGCGAGGTGCCAAGCCCGTCACAAACTTCGTGAAGAACCTCTCTGCCTTATCCGACTGGTACTCGGTCTATACCTCAGCTATCGCCTTCACAGTGAGTGGATCGCACGCCACCATTCCCCCTCCCCCCCCCCCCGTGGCCCCAGGGAGCAGGGTGGCCTCGGACAGCAGCTCACCCCACGCCCCCCCCCCCGCGGCCCCAGGGAGCAGGGTGGCCTCGGACAGCAGCTCGCCCCACGCCACCCCCCCCGCCGCGGCCCCAGGGAGCAGGGTGGCCTCGGACAGCAGCTCGCCCCCCGCCCCCCCCCCGCCCCCGTGGCCCCAGGGAGCAGGGTGGCCTCGGACAGCAGCTCCCCGGCTCAGTGTCCCGTTAGTCCAGTAGGTGTGTGGAGTAGCCACAGGACCGTGGCCCGGGGCCTGCCAGGGTTCTGGAGCAGATGCTGCCACCACTGTGGCTGTGTAGCACGTCCCTCCACAGCATGCTCAGAGATACCCTGGCCTGCGTTCAGCTCTGTCCTTCCGTAGAGCACTGGCACAGTGCTGCGCTCCTGACAAGACCCTGACGTGCTGGCTTGGGGCCTAGCCTGGGCTCTGTGAGCCACCAGGCGGGGGCAGGAACTGGAGGTGGAGGTGGGCTGGCGTTCCCGGGCATTAGGGAAGTAGGCCTAGCTGTCTTAGGATATGTCCTGCAGCACTTAGGCCCTCTAGTGGCAGGAGATAGGCAGACGGCTGTGCCACCACCCACCAAGTCCTCCACAGCGCTGGCCCTTCCTGTGCGGCCAGATGTAACGCCCATCCTGCCGACTCCTTCCCACTAGAGAGCTCGCGGATAGCCCCGGCGGGGTCCTGAGGACCCTTGGTGCCTGTCCCAGGGAGTCTGTTCCCTGGGAGAGGAAGCCTGTGGGGGGCGGTCCCCCTCCTTTGCCACCTTCACTTCCCCCGGGCCCTGCTGCCTTGTCCAGAGAGGAGCTCCAGGACAGGCCCCCTTCTAGACCCGCTGCAGCCCTGTGGAGCAGGGGGCAGAGGGACTCCACTCCCCATCCTCCGCTGTGGTCAGCCTCCTCGTCTGTGCCATTTGGGGCACAGGGGTCACACGTGGGGTAGGGGGGTCCCCGCCTAGAGGGCAGCTTTTCCAGATCTTCCACCTCCTGCCCCGGCAGGCATCCTCCCCATCCACGGCCCTCCTGTGGCTCCCCACAGCTGGAAAGCGGTCCTCCTGCTGCGAGTCTCGTGCGCCCGGGCCTGCTGTCTCCACTGAGCCCCGCTGCCCCTGTCTTTCCCGCCTCCCAGGTGTACATGAACGCCGTGTGGCACGGCTGGGCCATCCCCATGTTCCTGTTCCTGGCAATTCTGAGGCTGTCCCTCAATTACCTCATCGCCAGGTAGGTGGGCCGGGCTCCTGAGGGGCCACATCGCACGCGGGTGGGGGCTCTGGCGTCTGAGATGCTGCCGTGAGAGGCGGGCGCCCACCCCTCCCGGGTTTGCTGGAACGGGCGGCTCCCAGCGCGCCTGCTGGGTGCCCCGCTCGGTCCTCCCCCAACGGCCTTGTGTGCGGCAGGAAGTGCTCTCAAAGTCCCAGGGTGGGCTGGTGATGCCGCCGGGCAGGGCGCCCGCGAGGCTCCCTGTGGCTGCCGGTCCTGGGAGAGAGGGCTGCGCTGCCAAGCTGGGACGGGCAGTGCGGGCAGCGTGGGCAGCGTGGGCAGTGCGGGCAGCGCGGGCAGCGTGGGCAGCGCGGGCAGCGTGGGCAGCGCGGGCAGTGCGGGCAGCGTGGGCAGTGTGGGCAGCGTGGGCAGCGCGGGCACCGTGGGCAGCGTGGGCAGTGCAGGCAGCATGGGCACCGTGGGCAGCGCGAGCACCATGGGCAGTGCGGGCAGCGTAGGCAGCACGGGCAGCGTGGGCAGCGCGGGCAGGGTGGGCAGCATGGGCAGCGCGGGCAGCGTGGGCAGTGCGGGCAGCGTGGGCAGTGCGGGCAGTGTGGGCACCGTGGGCAGCGCGGGCAGCGTGGGCAGCGCGGGCAGCGTGGGCAGTGTGGGCACCGTGGGCAGCGCGGGCAGCGCGGGCAGTGCGGGCAGCGTGGGCAGCGCGGGCAGTGTGGGCACCGTGGGCAGCGCGGGCAGCATGGGCAGCGTGGGCAGCGCGGGCAGCGTGGGCAGTGCAGGCAGCGTGGGCAGCGCGGGCAGTGTGGGCAGCATGGGCAGAGCGGGCAGCGCGGGCACCGTGGGCAGAGCAGGCAGCGCGGGCAGGGTGGGCAGCATGGGCAGTGCGGGCAGCGCGGGCAGGGTGGGCAGCATGGGCAGTGCGGGCAGTGCGGGCACCGTGGGCAGAGCAGGCAGCGCGGGCAGGGTGGGCAGCATGGGCAGTGCGGGCAGCACGGGCAGGGTGGGCAGCATGGGCAGCGCGGGCAGCATGGGCAGTACGGGCAGTGCAGGCACCGTGGGCAGTGCGGGCAGCGCGGGCAGTGCAGGCAGCGTGGGCACCGTGGGCAGCGCAGGCAGCGCGGGCAGCATGGGCAGCGCGGGCAACATGGGCAGCGCGGGCAGCGTGGGCAGTGTGGGCAGCGCGGGCAGTGCAGGCAGCGCGGGCAGCGCACGGCTCACCTGCAGCCTGGGTGTGTCACCTGTCACGAACTCCGCTGGGCCCTCTGAGCAGCGCCCCTCAGCTGCTTGCAGACTTCCACGCAGCCCTCCGGAGCATCACTTTCTATACGCCTGTCTCCTCCGTCCTTTCCTACGCCCGCTTCGCTGGAAGATCTTTTGGTAGAAAGCATGACAATGCGTTCAAAGCAGCTGGAATCCCCAGGCAGAATCGGCTCTGGCGATGCTGCCGCCACCTGCTGTGGGCATGCCCTGGCCCAACCACTGCACCTCTCGGAGGAGAGCCAGTGTGGGGACAGCCACCGGTGGGGGAGCTGGGCGAAGCCCCGCCAGGAGCTCAGGGCTGGTGGTTCCATGCTGCCCCCAGCTCCAAGCTTGCAGGTGACATTGCCTTGAAGTTTGTGGCTTGTGTTTCCAGGGGCTGGAGGATACAGTGGAGCATCGTGCCTGAAGTGTCAGAAGCCGTGGTGAGTTCCCAGGACAAAAGGTCCTTCTGTCTGTCTACTGGTCAGGCATTGCAGGGGGCGCCCGGTGCTGGTCGGGGTACGTGGGACCAAGGAAACCAGCCAGCCAGGAGCCCTGCGGGGCCGTCTGCTCTCTCAGCAGCACCAAGCTTGGCAGCTCGAGGAGCAGATGACCCTGCCCTCCTGTCCTGGCTGAGCTGTCCCGCTGGGATGGCTGTGGTGGGGGCAGGGCAGGATGTCCTTCCCGGGTCCCCCGAGTGGGAGGTGCAAGCCGCACACAGCCGCCCATGTTTATTTCTAGGACTGTAGAGCCCACCTGCAGCCCATTGTCTAATTTGTAAATAAAGTTTTACTGACACTCAGCTGTGTTCGCTCATCACGCACTATGGACTTGGCCTGAAAAGATGAAAGTATTTACAGCGGCTTGCCCTGGCAGGCCGTAGTGCATCTGATGCCTCCTGTGTGCACTCAGGGGTTAAGAGGTCTCGGAGGAGGTGGGCTAGGAGGCCTCCAGAGGGTATTGCTGACAAGCGGGCCTGAGCTTCCTGCCTGTCGGAGCGGGGAAGTTGAGGCCTTCCACACCCTCAGCTGCTGGGTGAGGCTGGTGGCCCAGCAGAGGGGAGCTTTCCTATCAGCTGATGGTGTCCCTGGACAGCATTTCGTCCAGTGATAGGGGGAGCGAGGGGCCCCCAGGACCCTGGGGCTTGGAGCCATCATGCTGTCTGCTGGTAATTTTCCTGGATTGTTAAATTGCAGTGGGAAATTCTCTCTTCCTTTGAAGGAAGCTCCAAAGGAAGACCTGACCGTGTCTGAAAAGTTCCAGCTGGTGCTGGATGTCGCCCAGAAGGCCCAGGTACTGCCGCGGGGCTCGTCCAGTGCCCGGGGGGACGGGGAGGCACCCCAGCCGGGCCCTGTGGTCAGCACCGTTCCTTCTTCACACAGAATCTCTTTGGCAAGATGGCTGACATCCTGGAAAAGATCAAGAAGTAAGTCTCCAACCCTGTGGCGGGGATGGGGGGGGGCGGGAAGGGGGGGAGTGAGGTGTGTTTGCCCCGCCCCGCCTGACCCTGACTCCTTGCAGCCTGTTCATGTGGGTCCAGCCGGAGATCACTCAGAAGCTGTATATCGCGCTGTGGGCCGCCTTCCTGGCCTCCTGCTGCTTCCCCTACCGCCTGGTGGGCCTGGCTGTGGGTAAGGAGCACCGGGCCCGCGGGCACAGGGCTGGTGGAGAGAGAGGACAGGGCCTGCCTGGTGTCTGCCCCCAGCCCAGTCTCACACCAGCGTTCTCTCCTCTGCTTCTTGTCAAAGCATTTCAATTCTGGAGAAGTGAGCCCATCCGAGATCCAGACATGTTTCTTAAATCAGGCCCATTGTTTGCCCTGGGGCCCGGCTTCCTGCCCCATGAGGGCGGCTGGGAAGCCTGAGAGCCAGGTTTCAGGTGGCAAACCTGGTTGTGGCGCAGGGCGTGCGGTCAGGCTGCGTGCAGAAGGCTTCCGAGCGTGTCGGGAGGGAGAGCACCCTGGCAGGGGGGTGGCGTGGGGGCTGTCTGCAACACCCCGCCACTGAGGCACGGGAGCGGAGCTGGTTCGCTCCCCACCTCCCTCTGCCACCCACCTCCCTCTGCCACAGTGACCTGGCGCGTGCCATGGGCCCAGCCCATGTGGCACACGGGGCAGGACTTAGGGTCCTGGTGCTGTGAGGCGGGCGAGAGTCCCGGAAGCCGCATAGGGTGTGGGCAGTGAAGGTGGGGAGGGGAGGGTCCTCCCTGGAGCCAGACTCTCCCCCCCACCAGAGTCTGGGCTGTCTGGCTCCGCCACGCAGTCAGGAAGATGAAGCTGGGCGTGCCCACGCCAGAGCCCGGGGTGCCCGTGCTGAGCCTTTGTCACACCCAGGGAAGGGTGAGAGGAAGGAAGAGTCCTTCAAGGAAATGGTGACGAAGTGTCACTCCCTGCGGACACCTCCTCGGCCTCTGTGGCCAGTTCTACCTGTCACCTGTGCCCCTCACAGCCCGCCCTGCTCTTAACCTCTAACCCTCTGGGCTGCTTGTTAACTCCTCTGTCCACACCTCAGCTGGTGGTCTTGGTACTCTGGCTGTGGTTGGGAGGGCGTGGCCTGTGGTAGAGGGCTGGCGGGAGTGGGCGTGGCCTGGGGAGGAGTGGGTGGGGCACGGGCTGTGGGCCTGGGTGGAAGGCAGGCAGAGCTACTTATTAGCAGATGGCTGGACCAAGGGAAGGGAGGAAGGCTGTCAGGACTGCTGTGGCCTTGCCTGGCCTGTTGGGGAGGAGATGGTGGTGGTGCTGAGGCAGTTGCGTGGGCACGTGCCATTTGTGTTCTGGTCGGGTGTAGTTTGATTCTGAACACACAACCTCCCCCCCCCCCCCAGCATTTCAGTCTGGGGGGCAGATGTCTGTGGGAAAGCAAGACTCAGATCTGGGAGGGCTGGGAGGCAGGCAGGGGAGCCTGGGGGAAGGAAGGGCTCATGAGGGAGCATTCATTGAACGGCAAGAAGCTGGGGAGGTGTGTGCGAGGAGCAGGCCAAACTTGGTGTGGGTGTGGAGCATTTGGAGGCCCCTGGGGCCCAGCTTGAGTGGGGTGAGGGTGGATCCTCGGGGAGTCTGACTGCAGAAGAGGTCTCAGATCATAGGCGAGAAGTGTGGCTGGGAGGCTGGGAAGGTGGCTCAGTGGTAGAGCGCTTGCCTCGCATGCATGAGGCCCTGGGTTCGATTCCTCAGCGCCATATAAGCAGGGAAAAAAAACAACGGAAATGGTCCTGTGGCTCAAGTGGTAGAGCGCTAGCCTTGAGCTAAAGAGTTGAGGGACAGCGCCCAGGCCCAGAGTTCAGGACCCATGACCGTCAGATAAATAAATAATAAAACAAGAAGGGGGGCTGGGCCTGTGGCTGGGGTGTGTGTTGTGGCAGGGACGGCTGTGCCCAGACCTTGGAGGACGGCCCTGGTCAGATCCGGAAAGCCAGGGCCGCGTCCCAGGCTGCGCGGACGGGTCGGCCCCTTGTCCCCTCAGCCCGTTTCCCCTCGGGAAGCTGTACCCTTCCTCCCGCCTTTGTGCCCTTAGTCCACGCAGGGGGATGCGGTGAGGGACCGGCCAGACCCCAGCAGGGGCATCAGTCCAAGAGCCTCACGGTCTGGGGGTCCCGGAGTCCTGACAGGTCCTCGGACTTCAGTCCTCACCAGGAAAACCAGGGTGGCTTGAGGGAAATAGCCAAAGCCAGTGCCAGTAAAATGCCCGGGGGGGGCGGGGTGTCTGTGCGATCGCTGCCCTTTCCTTCTGCGGACCTGGGCTGGCACAGGACTGCTTGACCCAGGAAAGGGTCTACAGTAGTGAGAACCCCCTACCCCCCCACCTCCCCACTGACCCTGCGGTGAGAACCCCCGGCCCCCCTGCCCACCCCTCAGTGAGAACCCCCTACCACCCCCCCCCTCCCCCCCCCCCCCGCTGACCCTGCCCAGCTGACCTGCCCCGGCCAGGTGTCTCTGGTCCCCTTTAGGAGGAGGGTCGTGATTTTCTGTGCTTATCTTCTGCTCCGTGATCAGTGTGGGTGTGAGTGTATACTTGGGTGTGGGTTTGGGCTAATGATAAAATGATGTCGCCCTCAGCCAGGCCGCGTCCCTCACTAGTGCTGGCCCACAGGGCCTCTGCCCGGTCAGCCCCACCCCGTGGCTGCGCCACCCGCCGCCCTGCTTGAGCCCCCACAGGCTCTGCCGCCCGAGGGTCCTGGGTGAGATGGGTCTTTGTCGCCCCAGGGCTGTATGCTGGCATCAAGTTTTTCCTCATCGATTTCATCTTCAAACGCTGCCCGAGGCTGCGGGCCAAGTACGACACGCCCTACATCGTGTGGCGGAGTCTCCCCACAGACCCCCAGCTCAAGGAGCGCGCCGGCGCCCCCGTGTCCCGCAGGGTGAGCCTGCTGCCGCTGGGGAGGGGGCGGGGGGGACCCGGGGTGTCCCCGGCCCGTCCGCAGTCCTCCGCTCACCTCTGCCCCTGGGGAAGGTGATGTCGGCAGATTTGGGGGTCCTCAGGACAGTGGACATGGAAGATTTTCCCATCCTGGCCCTGTGGCTTCCAGGCGTCCGTCCTGTCCCATGCTGGGGCCCGCTAGCCCTGGGAGGAGCCCCTCCCGCCACTGTAGAGAGCCAGGGCAGCTAGGGTGAAGCCAGAGCCTGCGGGCCGTGTGTCTGTCCGCTCTGCTCAGACATCCCGCGCGCCCCTCTCCTTCTGTGGTGGTCACGTGTCTGTTGTCTCCTTTCTGGCCAGCTGTCAGGGTGTGACAAGGTACGGTGTCCTGTGAACCCCTCGGCTGCTGTGACCTGATGCGGTGCCCTTGCTGTGTTGTGGCTGGTGCTCTAGGGTTTCCACGGCGCCGGGCAGCCATGGCCTCGGCCAGCGTGCGCTGGGGCTCGGGCCTGGCCCGGAGCCTCGGGCGGGGGAGGGTGGGGCGTTGTGCGGCCAGGGCCGGCTCTGGAAGGGGCCTTGGGAGCTCCACCCCCACGTGTGGACTGGAAGCTGCTGAGCTGGCCGGGGCCTGCAGCTGGTGTGGGCAGGGAGGCCCCTGTGCCCCCCCCGCACCCCGACATGGCCAGCTGCGTCTCCCCAGACCCTGACCCGCGCCCTGGGTGCCGTTGGCAGCTGCAGACGGCCTCGTCACGGAGCTGCGTGTCCAGTGCGCCAGCCGGCCTGAGCAAAGATGAAGAGGTGGGCCGCTTCCACAGCACCAAGAAGGGCAACTTCCACGAAATCTTTAACTTGACGGAGAACGAGCGTCCTCTGGCCGGTACGTGGGGGCCGCGTCGGGAGCCAGACAGGCACATGGGAGATGGGAGCGGGGCCCAGGCCTGGCCCCTCCTGGAGGGTGACCTCACCCTGGCTGCTGGCCGAAGGAGCGCGTATCTGCTTCCCGGGGAGGTGGCGCGGGAGCCAGGGCCACCTCCGCCTGAGGAGGCCCCGTTCCCTGCGCGGCAGGTAGCAGGGCCAGGATGCCAAGGCGTGAGGCTCAGCTCTGCCCACGTCAGTGTTGGAGAACGTGGGGTGCTGGCCCAAAGTTGCCCCTGGCTGGATGTGTCCTGGCACATAGGTCTGTGTGGACAAGCCAGAGGTGTCCATTAGCCGGTGCCTGTGGAGCTGACCTCTGGTCAGTCTTCCAGGTGGAGCCCCAGAATGGGAGGTACAGGTGCGGGGACGAGAGCCCAAAGCCCCCGTCTGTGCATCTGGCCAGGGCTGCGTCGCACCCAGGGCTGCGGCGGCAGGCTGCACCTCACAGTGGGCCGGGCGCTCACAGCCCCACACGCCCCTGAGGAGCAAGCGCGTTCCCCGACACACCTCACTCCACTGGCCACGCCTCACGATAGACTATGTGTGTGTGTGTGTGTGTGTGTGTGTGTGCGCGCAGGCCTGGCCGCTGGGTCTGCCTCCCCACGCACGGATGGGTGGACTGTCGGTGGGGGCTGCAATGTGTCTTGGAAAAATCCGCGCTGATTAAACCCAGCTTGAGGTGGGCATGGGCTGGGCGCGCCCGTCCGAGGGCCTTCAGGCCGGCTCTCTCCCCTAGTGTGTGAGAATGGCTGGCGCTGCTGCCTAATAAACAGAGACCGCAAGATGCCCACGGACTACATCAGGAACGGGGTTCTGTACGTGACGGAAAAGTGAGTGGGGCGCAGCAGGGCTTCCCGGGCCCTGGGTGGGCAGTTGGGCGGCCCCTGGGCGGGCGGCTGGGTTCAACGGTGCCAGGCCTGGTCTCCCAGGTCCCTGGGCAGGCAGCTGGGTCCAGCGGTGCCGGGCCTGGTCTCCCTGTCCTGCTCCACCTGGCTGTGTGGGCTGGAGGGCCACACCCTGCCTCTGACCCACCCTCTCGAGCCCCAGGGACCATGGCTGTCAAGGGGGTCAGCAGCAGAGCGTCCTAGGAAGGGGAGAGACACAGTGACCTACTGAAACTCAGGGCCCACTCCGGAACGTTTAAGATGCATCAGCCCAAAGATGGCTTGGGCTTTTCTGCTAGACAAGGATGCGTGACAGGGACTCCTGTCACCCCCACCTTCCCCTCCCCCCCAGCAGACAGCTTGCAAGGCCCCCGGCTGCCCGTCCCCCAGTGCCTGCCACGGTCAAGGCCCCGAGCCCCCTGTGTTCCCCCAGCCAAAGCACCCGGCCCAGGAGAGCACTGGCCAGCCCCAGGCCCCTCACCTCTTCCAGGGAGCCCGCGGGAGCAAGCCCCAGCTCTCGCACAGAGCAGGTCTGCAGCTTTCTTCCAGGCGCTGTGCTTGGTGGGTCACTGCCCACCCCACAGGGCGGTGGAGGCAGCAGTCCTGAGCAGGAGCCCCGGCTCGGGTGCCGCCCGCTGACTCTGCGTTCCCTCCCCATCTAGTTACTTGTGCTTCGAAAGCTCCAGGTCTGGGTCGTCGAAGAGGAACAAAGTGATCAAGCTGGTGGACATCACCGACATCCAGAAGGTGGGTGCCCTCCCCCCAATGTTCACCGGTCACCATGCGCCAGGGCTTACTGGGTGATTCACAGCACTGGGGCCACCACCAGTGTTACAGCTCGCCTAGAAGAACCCGTCAAAGATACAAATGCCCCTCGGCCCGCACCCCACATCCTCCACTCCCCATACTCGTCCCTCACCGCGGCCTGCACCGCAGATCCTCCCCGCTCTCTGGTGGTCGGCCCCTGCGCTGGGCCCTCATGGTGCGTGCGGGGCGGGGAGGCCGCCTGCCTGGCCGAGCATCTGGAGCCCCAGCGGCAGCTCTGCCACGGTGCTCTGCCCCCTCCATCTCTGCTGCCAAACTCCTGGCATAGATGCTGGCTTCAAGTGGGCACACTGTATCCTGAGGGCAATTTCTTTTTTTTTTTTTTCATTTTATTTTCCATGTATTTATTTTTTTTATTGTAAAAAAAATAAACGGTAACACAGAGGGTTACAGTTACATGAGTGAGGTAATGAGTACACTTCCTCTTGAACATTGTTACCCCCTCCATTGTTTTCCCCCTACCATCCCTTCCCTCCCTACCTTCCCCGAGGTTCTTTTTATTTTTTTGATTGTGATTAAGTGATTACATAATTTCCAGAATTTCACAGTATTGTGGAATAATGATGCTCATTTAAAGTCACAAGTTCATTCTAGCTTTCCTGGAGCAAATTGTCTATCACAGTCTATAACATATAACGGGTGTTCACATGTTATACACCATACATGTGATCAGCAGCGTGGGGATATTTAGTAGTGGTTCGACCAGATGACTGGGAGTTCTTTGTTTCTTAAGTCCTGTTAGTTTTGTCGTATCACCTAACATTTTGGATTTAGCATCCACTTATCAGGGAGACCATGTACCATTTGTCTGAGGGCAGTTTCTTAACCAGCTTTTCTGGAGACTTTGTTCCTGGCCCAGAGGCAGGCTGGTGTGAGCCGCAGGCGCGCGGCTGGGTGTGGCTCAGCGACTCAGCCGCTGGCTCCCGACGGGCGCTGGTGGTGGGGTGCCCAGCCTTCGCGTCCCCTCTACCGCCACCTGCAACCCAGGGCTGTTGGCTCACACTGCTGTGCAGGGGCAGGGCGTACTGTTGGGTGTTGTGGGTGGTGTGTTGCTTGCTGTTGCGCTGTCGCCCAGAACCACCCCCTGGCACTCCCAGAGCAGCCTGATCCCCTGTGCCATAGACTCGGGGATCTGCTGCCCTGGCCGCCTGGGCTGGCGGGACAGGCCACTAACTGGTTTGCTGCTCAGTGACAAGATCAGGAGGGTTGTGTAGGTCGTCTTCTCTGTGTCTGAGGTGCCGGGGGGGTGGGTTGTGGTCACGGCCCACATTGTCTTTCAGTACAAGGTCCTGTCCGTCCTCCCGGGCTCTGGCATGGGCATCGCTGTTTCAACACCATCCACCCAGAAAGTAAGTGCCAGGCCGGTGCTCCTTAGGGGTTGGGGTGGGGCTCTGAGCATCCCTGGTATAGTTTTGGCTGGGCCGGTGCCTCCCTCCCGCCGCAGCCCCTCAGTGCGGTCCGGAGAGCACAGCCGCATGGGGGCCACGGGTGATGCCATCCGGAGGGAGGCGCTGGCCAGCGGCCCAGGCTCCCGCCCCTTGCCCTGTGTCGTGGGTGGCCTGGGCAGCTGCTCTTGTCCCCAGGCCCCGCAGGGCTGCTCGCTGCTCGGGCATGGGCGCCAGTTCTGTTTGTCCAGCCTGGCAGAAGCGGGCTCAGGCACACGCTCCCTCCCACCAGCCCCTGGTGTTCGGCGCCATGGTGCACAGAGATGAGGCCTTCGAGACCATTTTCGGGCAGTACATGAAGATCACAGCCGCGGCAGCCTCCGGTGGCGACAGCTAGTCCTGACGGGCGCCGCGGGTCCCTTCCAGACAGCGTGGTAGTGGAACCGACCCGCCGCCGCCGCCGCTTGGTCTTCTGCAATAATCCCCCTGGACCTGCCGTTCCTCACATGTTGGCCGGGCTCTGCCCCCCCTCTGGGAGGGGCTGGGCTGCCCCGCCGGGGTGAAGCACTTTAGGCTACACGGGCCACACGGGCGTGCAAAGGATCCTTGGGGCCTGCTGGAAGGACGCCGCCTCCAGGCCCCGCGCGCACGGCTCCTCGTTCTCCCCCTGGCCTGGGTGCAGACCCAGTGCCAGCCAAAGAGGCGCTGCTGACCCCAGCGCTCCGAGGCCAGAGGTGTGTCCCCATCAAAGCCATAGCACAGTGGGTTTGTGGTCCCTCCTGTGGGTTTGGCGATGGTGAGCGGGGGCACGGAGGCCCCTCCATGGCCTCCAAAACCGCCAGCGGTCTCTCTCGGCCTTCAGTGAGACCCAGGTGCCTCGCTGACCCTCAGCGCTGGCCCCGGGCGGGGTCAGGCACCGCCTTGTGTTCTGAGCTTGGCTCATGGGGGCTGGTGAGGAGGGTCCCTCGGGTCCCAGGGGGTCCGGTCCTGGCCCACCACCCCCGTGGCAGAGGGAGGGGCGTGCAGGTAGAAGCACATCTTTTCAGCACTTGGCTCTTCGGAAGGCCGGAGCGTGCCGGCAAGGCTTCGGGTGCTCTGCCCTTTGGTTGCTCTCAGGTGAAAGTCAGCTGGAGTCTGGCTGATGGATGGGGTAGGCCGGGGCCAGGCAGGCTGTGGGCCCCCGGGAAAGCCTGGCAGCGCCCTCCACCGTAGGGGCCACCCTAGCATCTGACAGTATTTCTGTTCTTGTGGCCGGCTCCGCCAGGGAAGCCCTGGCGCTCAGCCGAGCGCTGCGGACGCCTGAGCTCAGAGGCGCCATTTCCTCTGGGACGCCCGTGTGGGACATCAAAAACAGGGCACCTGCACCGCGGAGCCTGGCCCCTGCAGGGTGGGTCACCGAGCCCTCCAGACGTCATTAAGATTGTGGGTTGTTGTTTTTTTTTTTTTTGAAGAAACAGATTATATTTTTTACAGAGAGCAAGCTGTTTTTCTTATTTTTGTATCATTTTTCAGATGTAATTTTTACCTTTGCTCCGATCCTCATTTGCTGGTTTGGGTGTGAGGCCTATGGCTTGGATGGTGACCCCTTCATCCCAGGGGCTTCCTGCTGGGGGGAGGGAACGGGGGCACACACCCACCGGCTAGATCAAGCACACACCCCACCCTGGAGGGCGAAGGCTCCCCGCCACACAGGCATGGCGTGGGCCAGGGCGAAGCGGCAGCCTCGTACACGGAGGAGGAGCCCTGCGGGGGGACCTACAGCTTCCCGTGCAGGGGGCGGGGAAGGAGCACCCGTGGGAGCTCTAGGCGCCCGTGGGGAGGCAGGGTGAGCCCTGATCTGTGCCCAGAGCCGCGGCAGTGCCCCTCGCAGGCCGGAGGGGAGCCTGAGCAGAGAGAGGCAGAGTGGTTTAGTTTGAGCCCTTTTACAGAGAAAGGGAGATGAAGACTTGACCACATGGCAGGTGCCCGGCCCCACTGCGTGGCCCTTGGCGGCCAGGGAGACGAGGGCAGCCCAAGCCAACACTGCCAGCAGGTCCTGGTGCGGAGCCCACGGGGCGGGCAGGCTAGGCCCAGGCTCTGGGCCTCCTGCCAGGGAGACCGCGCTTTGTTGCAGGTGGCGTAAGTCTGGGTGGGTATTTAATTTCTATGACTAGTCACCGAAGTAGATTGAATGTTACCTTTTGTATGTCTGAAGCCTGAGTCTATTTTGAGCTGTACGTAATGGTTGCTGGCGTTAAGGGTTGTCCTCTATGAAGAACGGATGGGAGAAGCCTCCGTCACATTTTTTTAAAGAAAACCTTGTTTAAAGAAAGTCTTGTATACATTATAATTTTATTTAAATAAACCTAAAATGCTTTGTGCCAAGGCAAGGCCCACCATGTTCTTGGCAGGGTTCTGGATGTGTGTGGCCCAGCAGCTGGGCAGCCCCGGTCCCTGCCCACCCCCTCGCTCCTGCAAGGGCAGCAGGCTAGGAGGGGAGGCCACCGGGGTGGACTGGGGGAAAGCAGGGCCTGGCGGGGGGAGAGGGGGCTGCGAGCGGAAGGTGGGCCCCGAGTCCCAGATGACAGAGGCCAGATAGTGAAGGGATGACCAGAGGACACTGGGGAGGGCTGAGGGGGTGGAGACCAGGCAGAGACAGGGTACAGGTCCTGGCTCCCACGAGCTGTACATCCTGTGGGAAGATGGGCCCTGGCAACATTCGTGTTTGATCCCCACACTGACACCCCAGCAGGGCAGAAGACCCTGCTTCTAAAATGAATGGTGCTGACCGCCCTTCATCCCCCGAGCACGTGAGCTCCAGCGGGCAGGGGCTGTCCTGTTCCCAAGGAAGGGGGCTGGAGACAGTGCACCTTGAGTGTGGCTGCGTGAAGTTGGACATTTCCATATCCCATCCATCCACCTACCCATCTGCTGTCCACCCATTCACTCAGCCTCCCTACCCCCATCTTTCACCCGCCTGTCTTCCATCCATCTTACCCACTCATCCACCCATCTGGCCATCCATTCATCCCTTGTTCATCTGCTCTCCATCCACCTACCCATTCATCCACGTTCCGTCCGTCCACTCTCCCCACCCATCCTTCCATCCCCTGCCCACCTCCCCACTCGCCCATCTATTCACTCTACGCACGCATCCATTTTCCATCGACTCGCCCTCTCTCCCCATCCATCTTCCAACCATCCACTCACCCGTCCATCTTCCATCCACCTCACCCTTGCCACACTCCACCAACCCACCTACTCATCCAGCATCCGTCTACCCACCCTTCATCTACCTTCCATCTGCATTCACCCCCACGCACCCATCTTCCATCTATCTCCCCTCCCATCTACACATCTTACCTCCCTGTACTCACACATCCACCTGTCCTGAATTCATCTTCCGTCCATCCATCCATCAACCTGTCAGCCCACCCCCCCTTACATCCTGCCACCCATCTTCCCACTCGTCCATCTGTCCATCTAGCTTATCCCTGCTCTCACTGCTCATGTTCCTCCCCACTTCCTCTAGCCTGCTGGACAGCAGCAACTGTGCAGGAACACAACAGGGACAGCCTTCCTAGAGCACCCTGCTTCCACCCAGCCACCTCCTCCCCTCCCCTCTGCAGCGCGTCCATCCTTCCCTGGCTGCTCAGGGAGGCAGCTCCCCACGCCCCGGCCTTCCTCGCTCATGAAGGGGGGAAGGGGATGGGCCGCCGCAACCAGCTCTGGAGGTGGCAGAGGAGTTTCCCACACCCAACCCGCACGTGTAGCTGGAGACCCACCGCACCAGCAAAAAGAAGTTTCTGAGAACACACTGTCTGTTTCTTTCCCCAAATAGCATAACCTCCAAACCAAGCTGTCCAACCCTGAAAAGCAGGAAGTGATGCCCTGATTTGAGAATGGAGGGCTGTGAGGGCAAGGCGGGGAGCCTCGGCCACGGGAGCGTGGGGGTCGGGGCGCCACCCATTTTCAGCAAGGTGCAGCTACACCTTTGCTCACTTGGTCTTGTTTTTTAAACTTCACTCGTGTGTTTTCATAAATAAAAAAAGTACTCTGCTTTGAGAAAGAGAACTTGCAAATAAAAGAAATAAAATGCCACCTGCTGCCCAAAGTAACTTTATTTTTATCTTCTCAAACACCTCTGGTGCAATACACCATTTTCTAGTCTTGAAACCAGCAAAAGTAGAAGCAGGCCAGGCTGCCCTGCGCGGGCCTTCACTCCCCAGCCACAGGGCTGCGGCGGGGCGGAGGCGGCAGCTCGCAGCCCCGCCACCTCCACACTCGAATAAACAGGAATGAGTTACCACGCATGAATGCGGCTGATTATTTTGCACCAGTGAGCCACAAAGGAAGTTAAAACATGGACAAACCCTTCCAAAGGCTCCCGTGTTCCCTATCTAACACCAGTCCCCGGTCTCCAAACCCCCAGTGTGGGGCCGAGTAGCTGCATAAGAAATGGGCCAGGAATGTGAGTGGCTGCCTCCTGCCTCCTGCTGAAGGCCGGAGGGCCTTCAGGGCACCAGACCCCACTGCATCCTGCCACAGCTCCAGCTTTCCCTTTTCAGTGCCGGCCTGGAGCAGGGCGTTAGCAGAGCCTCTGGGCGGAGCCGTGGGGGGGAGGGGGAGCCCGTGTGCAGAGCCCGTGGGCCCCTGGCAGGGCAGCGCGGGCTCTGCCTGAGCCGCTGTGGGATACGCCAGAGGCTGTTGGCCCAGTGGGCGGAGGCTGCTCGGGGCTGCCTGGCCCTGGGCCCGGCCCGGCCAGTCTTACACCTTTGTATCCCCCCTCCCACCCCCCCAAGCCAGCACAGACGTGAATGGACACATCGCTGAAACCTCCATTACTTTGAATGAGGCCCTCTATGGCTGCCCTTCTGTCTGGGAGGGACTGAGGGATGAAGAGGACATTTCCCATCAGCTTCTAATGGAAATCCACACAAGGGATTCCGGAATAAATGCCCCGGGTCAAACCTGCCAGGGCCCACATCCAGCACTCCTCTAACAGCACCTTCTCGCACATCAAGTTTCAGCTGCATATTCTTGTACTTCAGAGAGACTAATTGACGTAAATCTTACCATACACACTGGGCTGGAAACAAACAAGGGTGCGGGGCCCAGCGGAAGTCCTGGTCTCCAGCCTCAGGGCCAAGACAGGAAGCTACCATCCCTTCTGCTAGAGACAAAACAAACAGCCAGGACACCACCCGCCCACACTCCTCTGATTGACAGGAAAGAGCTTCCAATAAATATGTAGAACCCAGGATGAAGAGAAGAACAAATATGGTCCATGACGACTCAAGACCTGCACCAAAGTAACCCAGCCAGAGCTGGGGAGACCCTGTCACCTGCTGCTGGAGCTGGGGTTGGAAGCAAGCACAGAGCCTCAGCGTGGCCCTCGGCCGGGGTGCCAGCTGCTCGCTGGTCCCTAACGGCCACGTGGCCCATTTCCAGCACACTCGGCATGAGGACACGCTCTGGAGCGCTGTGCTGCTGTCTCCGCGTGCCACACAGGATATCGGAGTGACCTCCTGACGGCAAGAGCGTCCAGCGAAGGCGGAGATCAACATCTGCTTCCAAAGCCTGGCTGCAAACAGCTCCAGAAAACGTCACTGCAAAGTGGCCGGTGGACACCCGTGTCCACACGCTGCGGCCCAGTTCCTGCCAAGTCCCGGAATTATTGCAATAGCGGCTCGAGTGGGCTGCTTGGGAATCTTCACTGCTGGCGTCGGAGGATGCACAAAGCCGGCCGGACTGCCCGCCGGGACACAGCGCCGGGGACGCAGATTTCGTAGAACTCAGAATGCCAGGTATCTACTTACAATTGTTGACAAAGGCATTTTTTTCCTAAAATCAAGATTTAACTATCAAAAATAAACTTCTAAATGTAAATGTCTGTCTGAACATAATTGAGCTGTAGTCCTTTCTTGATTTTCGAATTTTCCGGGCTGCACAGAGCGGCTCCTCAGCTCGGTGACTCTTGCTTAGGATTCTCCTCGATTCCTCGAGCAAAGAGGCGAACCAGCTGGCAGTGGACCCTGCAGAGACACACGGCCGGCTTCAACGCCACGTCCGGTGGGGCCCAGCAGCGCACGCCTCTCCTCCCAGATGCTCGGGAGGCAGTGGCCGCCCCAGGCAGAACGCCTAAGACTGACCGAGTGACAGCTAAAGCAATGGGCCCTGGAGGCACGGCTCAAGTACATTGCAAGTGTGAGGCTCGAGTTTAAAACCAGTGACTGCCACAAAAAGGGGGGGGGGCAAAAAAGCCAAGTGCTGATGGCTCATGCCATCCAGCTGAGATGGGGAGGAGGGGGTGTGCGCCGGCCCTGGAGCAAGGCTGTCAGGGTGCCCTTCTCAACGGAAGAGGCTGGGCACGGCGGCCATGCCTGTCATCCCAGCATGGGTAAGAAAACCCGTCGAAAAAGGGCTGGAGGTGTGGCTCAGCAGTATAGTGTCTGCCTTGAAAGCACCAGGCCTCAAGTTCAAATCCCAGTGCAGAGAAAAAAGAATCCAGCCAAACAAAAGCCAACCCGTGTGGCAGCCGCCTGGCTCCGCCCCTCCCACGCGAGTCCTTCCTGGCACACCAGGCCCGGGCGCCCCAGTCCGCACGCCGGGCCCGGGCGCCCTAGTCCGCACAGGCGCACACGCAGCTTCCTGTGGCTCCTCCTCCCCCTTTTCCTGCTGCCCCCCCCAGCACTGAGCACACATCTGGCGTGTCCCCTGGCCCAGGCCTGGGGAGGGCCGCGCGAAAGCAGGACTTGTGTTTGCTTTGTGAATTATGTAGCGGAAGGAAAAGGAGAGGAGGGAGAGAGGACGCCAGCGCAGAGCTGGGCTGGCCCGGGGTGTGTCGCTGAGGGGCGGGGCGGGGCGGGGCGGGAGGGGGCCCATCCGGTTCCAGCCTGGGGTGACGGGTCTCCCATGCCGCCAGGCTCGCGCTCACCTGACCTCGAGGGCGGGGGTGTGCAGCAGCTCCCCGTCACAGTTCCAGGCGCCACGGGCCGCCGCGCAGCAGCAGCTGGGGCTGTCGCTGCAGAGAGGCCCGAAGCGCTGCTTCCCCGGCCCCCCGAGGCCGCGGGCCCCGTCCTCCAGGGCCTTCGACGTGAACTGGAACCTCTTGACGCGATACACCTCCACAAAAGTGAAGTCAAACTGCGGGGAGAGGACAAGGCAGGGAAGCTGAGCTCCGCGGCCGGTCCCCAGGAGCACACCGCGGCCACGGGCCCTGACTCGGGCCACTCCACCGGCTGACCTGACCACGCCACACCGGAGACGCAGGGGCTTCCGGGCGCCGCTAACACCGCGAGTCACAGCTCCGCCCCGGGGCTGACACCTGCTACTAGCAGTGGCTGGTGCAATGTTCTAGTCCCTGTGTGGCAGGCTGGCTGGGGGGGGTGTGTGGGGCTCCCCACTTGCCTGGTCACACTGGTTGGTGTGCCTGACGAGGAACCTCAGGAAGTTGAATCTGGAGCACTTCCGGATGAGGATGAGGTCGGAAGATCCATCTCCCAGGTGGGCGGCTGGGGAGAGGCCCCGAGGGCTCCGGGGACAAGCACAGGACATGTTTGTGGCATTGATGGCCAGAAACTTCCCACAGACGACCTGCCACTCCTCTACCTCCTCTGAAGCACAAAGAACCGGGCAGATGTTACTATTACGAGGAACACGGCAGCCACTCTGAGGAGACGGGGCAGGATTGCTGTGCTCGCTCCAGCACGGCATGGAGACCTCCCGAGCTCACGGTCACCGGCCTGACATACCCACCCTGCAGCTGCCCGCTGGCCTCAGGACCTGAAGGCCACTTCCTGTGTGGCCAGGCAGACCGGCATCCACTGGGCCTGTGATTTAGAAGCAGGACCAGTAGCGCACGCCAAGGGCTGAACATCTGTGTGGATGGCCGGTGACGTGAGACTGGGTCTCACGTTTAAAATAATTGAAAAAAAATCAAAAGAATAATATTTTATAGTTGGGCTCCAGTGGCTCACCCCCGCAATCCTAGCTACTTAGGAGGCTGAGACCTGGAGGAAAACAGTTTGAAGCCAGACCAGGCCAAAAAAAAAAAGCCTTTAAAATTAACCAACTGTAAAATCGGTCCATCTCCAATTAACCAACAAAATGCTGGACTGGAGGTGTGGTTCGAGTGGTAAGCCAAGGGAGGAGAGCTTGAGGCCCTGGGTTCGAGCCCCAGATATAACAGAAAACAAAAAGCTTAATGCTGCTTCATAACATGTGGAAAATGCATGACACTCCAGTCTCGGTGTCCACAAATCACCTGCCACCGGTGGGAGGCCACGCCCGCTGGCCACGCACGGTGGGTGACTGGCAGGAAAGCAGGAGTTTCACCTGATCACCTGCTGACTGCCATACTGCAGAGCAGGCCACAAGGAGCCTGGCTGGCCTCCCGGTGCGTGGCCCTCCCCGGGATTATCTTCCCAAAGTCTGCTGAGTAGCAACAAGTTGTTGCTGCCTGGAGCTAGAGATAAAGGGACCGTGTGGTCTAACAGAGCAGAGAGGAAAGGGCTGATGGGCAGCAGAAAAGTCAATGCAGAGAGGGCCGACACGGGGATTAGACGGGGGAGGGGGGGTTACCAGCATTTTCTAAGCCATATAAGGCTTTCTTCTGCTCTTCCTCGAGCTGCTGCTTGCTCTGCCTGCACACAAAGCATCTGAAAAGCAAGAACACACGTCTCCATTGCGCAACGGAGCCCCTGCGCTGGGCTCTTCACAGAACCCAAGACTCAGCTGAGAACAACTCTTAGCATGCTCATTTTGAGAACTCAAAATTACATCTGCTTTGGATTTGCACCTGCGAATCCTTTCCTAAGATCTGTGAGTGCCACGTGTGGTCTGAGGAAGGCCTTGGCCAGCTTGGCCGAGGGCCGCTCCACCCACGGAGGCTCAGGTGAAGCTCCTGACACTTGGGCTCCGGGGGGCCCCCGCAGCCCTGCCTGTCCAGCCCTGCACTCCTGCTGGCCGCCCCCTTTCCAAAGGATGCCAGAGCGGGCCAGGGCTCTGCCACCTCCGAGGAGCTCCTCTGGGAGAAGGACGGGGCTTCGGCTTCGGCTTGCATGGATTGCTGAGAACAGTGGCTTTCATCAGACCTCAAGAGGGGCAGAAGGAACCCCCAAAAGGAGACCACACAGACGTTAGCCTCACCCCAGCACAAGCTGGGAGAGCCCGCAGCAGAGCCTCCTCCATGCCTCCCTCAGCCAGGGGATCGGGTCCGCACGGGCTCGGGGTGGCAGTGCCTGAGAAGCCCGAGACACCCCATAGGCCACCCCACCACCCAGCACTGCCCATCCCTGCGGCAAACCCAGAAAGAAAGGCCCTCACCCCGCGTGGCAGGCCTTCCTGTCCCGGGGAGAGCCCACGGTGTGCTGGGCCGGGAGGAAAGACACGGTCCCTTCGTAGTAGTGATGCGAGAGGAACGTCTTCATGCCTGGAACAGAGCAGCAGAGGGAACGCCGCAGGTCACCGCCGCCGCCACCTCATGGGGCTGCAGAGTCCCCCGGACGAGAGGCCTGCCTGCTCACAGCGGCCTGCCTCCCCCATCCGCGGGCGAGCCCCGCTTTGTGGTGCGGCCCGTAGACTTTTAGGACACGGCCTGGTGAGACCCCACACGCGGCCCCAGCCCTCAGCCCGCCTGAGACTCGGCTCCTGCACTCCCCCAGGGCGCAGGAGGCGCGGCACAGGCATTTCTGCGCAGCCCCGGTGTGGGATCTAAGCTGCCCAGGGACATTGATGTGAGGCGGGCCTGCCGGTCCTGTCCAGGCCGTGTCCCTGGCCTGGGAAGAAGCCTGACCCAGGATGGGCACCTGGCAGGCACAATGGCTCTTTCTGGAAGCTGAGGCAGGGCCCTTACTGGAGACGGTGGGGACACGCACACGCTGCGCTCGAGCTCAGCATCTCGAGCCAGGTTCCTCCACAGTGAACACTGTCACACGGACTGCTATGCTCCCAGTGACCACAAAACCAACTTTAGACAGGTGCCAGTGGCTCACGCCTGCAGCCCTAGCTACTTAAAAGGCCGAGATCCGAGCATCATAGTCTGAAGCCAGCCTAGTAGGATTGAGACTCATCTCCAATGAAGTACCCCAAAAGAGCCAGAAGGGGCGCTGTGGCTCAAGCGGCAGAGCACTAGCCTTGAGCAAAAGCAGCTCAGGGACAGCGCCCAGGCCCTGCACTCAAGCCCCAGGACCAGCACCAAAACACAAACAAAACCGCTTCACCTCTACAGCCCAAAGGGGATGAGAACATGAATTTCCTGATGCTCACCTTCCTTTAGCCTGTGACTGGGACACACGCGGTGTGTCTCAGGGGCCACCCCCTGGTCTGAGTGAGCCTCGAGACCAGGATGTGTGTCATACCAACCCAAGTTCGAGACCAGGCCCCTCCGGCCCTCGCTGGCTGCGGATGAGGCAGGCCTTTCCCGTCCTGTCTGCCCGCAGGGCGTCCACCTTTGCATGTCTGTGGACTCGCCCTGTGTGTGCAGCGCTCGGCCCGGCTCACCGACGCCTGCGCGTGCCCCGGCGTGCGGCGGCTCAGGGCGGCGGCACGCTAGCGCCCATCCCTGTTACCTGAGAAGTCGTATCTGACGAGCCCCATCCACCGCTTCTTCTCGCTGTCCTTGATCAGGTCCCCGTAGAACCCGTAGCCCAGCAGGGACACGGAGTACCGCAGCAGCGTGCTGCCGTGGTGCACGGAGGACACGTCCATGGCCAGCGAGTCTCCTGGGACGGAGGGACGCCGTGAGGGAGCCCCTCCGCCCGCCCCCTGCCCCCAGACAGCACCCGCGAGGGAACCCCTCTGCCCCCTGAGCCCGGGACGGGGGACAGCGGGGAGCTTCAGCGCCACGATGCAGACAGCAGAACGTGGCTCCGATTTCCAAAACTATTCCAGAGCTATTCTGTGGGGAGGGACAAGAGCGCGCCCCCGTGGGCTGAGGCTGAAGGAACGGTCAGCAGACAGGGTGACGCACACCTGTAATCCCGGCCCCCGGGAGAGTAAGGCAGGAGAACCGAGAGGTGGAGGCCAGCCTGGCCACGCAGGATGGGCTTGCCTCAAAAACCAAGGCAAAGTATAAACTCAGTGGACAGACATCTTTAGACATAACCTTTCAGGAGGGAAAAACCCGGAGAGAAGCGAGGGAAGAGGTGACACCGTCCCAAAAGAAATGTGCTCTTTACCTGCCTCGTGTAACTATCACCCTCCTTCATAGTCACAATTTAAAAAACATTGCTGGTAAGATGTGGCCTGCTCCAAACAGGGACAGAGAAAGGGACGGGGTCCTGGCATCGTCCTGGGGGCTCTGGGGAGCCCCCCCCAGGAACACAGGTCCCTTCCTGCCTCCGGCTGAGCCCAGATTCCCAGGAAGGAATGGGACGTCACCCAGGATGGGAAGCGGGCTGGGAAGCCCGTGGGAGCCAGTCTCGGTGCGGGTGGGGTGGAGTGGCAGCTCGGGACAGCGTGGGCTGAGGTCAAGAGCAAGGGAGGACACGAACCACGGAGGACCCACGTGCGGGAGGCTGCACTGGGCTGCCCGCGCAGCCTGGCCCGGGGGTGGCTGGGGAAGGCGGCGATGGGCCGGGCGGGGCCTCGTGCCGAGCGGAGGGCCAGGCAAGGGAGGACGGGAGGAAGCAGGGTGGCCGCAGGACCCTCAGGGGCGGCTCCCACGTGAGACCTGACTCACCAACGATAATGTGCAGGGCCGAAGTCTCGGCGTCGATGGTGCCCACGGTGGAGTAGCACACGCAGTCTGTGGAGCCTGTGGAGGGGAGGGGCAGACCTCGTCACCCGGGCCCCTGCCTCCTCCTCCCGCGGCCTGGCGTGAGGAGGAACGCGGTTCTCCTGCGAGATGGATGTGGCAGGCGCAGGGCTCCTCACGCCACGGGCCACGCGCTGCCTCCATGGCAGGCACCAGCGGCTCGCAAGCAAGGCGAGACTGCCCAGAGCACGGCCAAGCGGGGGAGAGCCAGGTCAGCACACTGGGAAGGCAGGAAGGGTGAGGAAGGCCCCGTACTGGACACGGTGGCGCTGAGGCCCCAGCTCACCCCGGTGAGCCCTGAGTCCTGCCTGAGACCGCCCGGAGGGGGCTGAGGGCCGAGCTGTCCAGACGCCTGGTCTCCACCTGGAGCGCACGGGCGTGTGCACAGAGCGGCGGCACCGCAGAGCATGGCCGCTGGCACAGCAGCTGGCCGGGGCTGGCCCGGGCCGGCCTGAGTCGCAGGCCCCGGCTCTGCCTCGGACGCGGGCAGCCTGCCGTCTCTGGTCCTGAGTGACCTGAGGAGCCTCTTGGGGCCCCGTGGGCCAGGCCCCAGCTCCTTTTGCGCTGGTTGTGGGGGGCAGGGATGCGCTTCCTGCCTGTTGCACTCATGGAATGGCACACGCACCGCTGTGCACAGCTTCTTCTGGGGCGATGGGTCTCACGGGCAAGCATGGACCCACAATCAAAACAATCATCTCAGCCTCGTGGCTAGGGCGAAGGTGCGCCCACTGTATGCAGCAAATAGCTAAGAGGGGTCTTGTGAATTTTTTCACTTGTTCTGGCTATGAACTATGATCCTCTGGATCTCAGCCTTCCAAATAGCTGGCATTACAGGCGTGAGCCACAAGCATGCACCAGAATCCCATCGGACTGCCGAAGTTAAACACAGGCATAGAAAACCACATGGGCTCAGAGAGCCCCAAGGGGAATGTCTTCGGGAGAGAGCCACTTCCACGTGGAGCCTCCGGGGCCGCGTGTGCCACGACTGAGATCTGTGAGCAAGGAGGCAGAGAACAGGGACAGGCGGGGAGGGGCCTGCTGTCCTCCGGGGACATGGCCTCATGTCCAGGTCACTGACAGAATCACAGCTCCCTGGGAACCAGCCGCAGATGGCAAGACAGCGGGCCCTGGAGGGCGGGCGTGTGTGTGTAAGAGCATGCATATGAGTGTGTCACGAGTGTGTGAGCTGACTCTCGCCCAGTGTGCTCACAGGCCAGTCAGCAGGCGCCCAGCAGGCCATCCTCTGCTGAGAGGCCCCCCACCAGGGCGGAGCATGCTGCACCAGGCTGCCGGCAAGCATGCGTGGAGTGGAGCTGGAGACCCACAACCCCCCACAGGTCGGCTCTTCTGCCCCGGGCAGAGCCCTCAGCTCCCTCCCTCTGCTCCTCCACCTTTGGGAACTGAGGTCAAGGGAGAGGGAGAAGCAGAGGCCTGCCGTGGTCCCGGCGCCGTGGCGGACACTGAGGTAGCACGAGGAACCACGCCGCGGTCTGAACGCAGGGGTGCCCCTGAGGTCTCCCCGCCAGGGTCTTCTCATGGCACAGGACGAGTCCACACGGCAGGAGGCGCGCTCCTCCCCGGGGCCCCCACAGGACTCCCCCGAGACGAAGAACACGCCCGAGGCAGACGGCGATCCTTCAGCACACGAACAGCCACGGTCCTGACCACAGATCAGGATGTGCTGGGCACGGCGCGCTGCTCTGGGCACTGGTGGCTCAGGCTGTAATCCTCAACTACTTTGGAGGCTGAGATGCAAAGGATCAGTTTGCTAGCGTGGGCAGAAAATCCCCAAGACTTCACCTCTAAAAAAACCACCAAAGAACTGGGCTGAGAGGTGGCTTACGTGACAGAGCACCAGCCCCGTGCACGCGAGCTCAGAAAGTGCAAGAATCTGACTTTAAATCTGCATTGGACAAAAACAGACCAAGCAGGAAGGGTGTTGCCCTGCACACATGTGCACGTGCGTGTGCATGCACACGCGCGCACACACACGCGCGCGCGCACACACACAGCCCAGGCGGCCTCCTCCGGGGGCTGGGCAGCGCAGGCAGCCTGGCCCCGGGTCCCACCCGTACCTGCGGGGATGATGCCGATGCGGAGCGGGCTGGGGACCAGCGCGGCCCGGGGGTGGTTCTGGTCCACGCCGGCGCTCTTCTGCGTCCTCCCGATCAGACCGTGCAGCACCTCGCTGAACATCCCGTCACCGCCCACGCAGACGATACTGGGGAGGGCAACAGCACACCAGAGCCCATAACGCATTCGCCCCGGCTCCGGTGGTCCTGGAGGTACAACGCAGGGCCTTGCACCTGCCAGGCAAAGCACTCTACCACTTGAGCCACACCTCCAGCTCTTTCTGCTTTAGTGACTTTGCAAAGACTGTTTTGTGCCCAGGTCAGCCTAGACACTGGTGCACCTGTTTGTTTCTTGTGTAGCTGGGATGGTTGATGTGTGTCACACCTCCCCGCTTTTGCTGGCTGAAATGGGGTCTCATGTACTTTTGTTCAGGCTGGTTTCTAACCTCACTGCTCCCAATCTCTCCCTCTCTAGAAGGATTACACGAGCAAGCCAGACCCCCCCACGGCCCATGGGAACCGGGGACCTGAGTGCCAGGAGGCAGCTTGCAAGTTTGGGCCTAGCAGGTGTCTGAGAAGGTGATCTTGAACCTTCCCTGGGTGGCAGGGTGGCGGCTCCGCCAACTGCTCTCCTGCCGGACCCTGGCACTGCAGCACCGTGAACGCCGGTGTGAGCAGCTGAAAACACTCATAACTCAGGCTCCAATGGTGTTGCTCATGGCAGAGCGCTTGCTAACACACACAAGGTCCTGGGCTCAGGCCTCAACACTGCAACAATAAAAAGTAAAAGCAAAAACAATGCAACAACTGAAAATCCTTAAACTCTTGAAGATTGAAGCCTGCTGGGCAGCACAGCAGAGCCGAGCAGCTGCATGTCTCCTAAAGGTGGGCGTGGGGCGGCCAGCGGGTAGGAGCCTACCACCGGTCCTTGTCCTCTTCTGGTCCACCCACAGGCGGCCTTCCTGCGCATGGCACTGTCACCCCTGGGAGTGGCCTTGCGGGTTTGGACATAGGAGAGGGGAGACCGAGTCAGGGCTGAGTGGGCAGGGCCAAGAGCAGGAGGAGAGGAGAAGAAGCCCAGACTGAGGGGTGGGGCAGGTGTGCTGTCTGGGGCTGGAGATGACAGGGTCTGTGTGAGCAGCATGGAGCTGTACGTGTGTGTGTGTCCATGCACACGTGTGTGTGTGCAGAGACATATCCTGTGACCCTAGAGAAGATAGAGGGCATGTTCAGAGCCTGGTGCCACCTGACCAATCCGACTCAGGAAGCTGAGACCACCTGGATAAGCCAGCCTGGATAAACAAGGCTGTGAGGTTCTCAGCAAAATGCCAGACTGGAAATGTGGTTCAAGTGGTAAAGCACCAGCCATGAATAAGAAGACAGGGTGAGAGCGTGAGGCCTGAGGTCAAGTTGGTACAGGCACAGCATAAATAACTGCAGCTCCTATCCCACACACAAAGCCACAAGCTGAAGCTATGGCCCAAGTGGCAGAATGGTTGCCTCGAGTTCAAACCCCGGCACCACCAAAATAAGAGTAGTAAGAACAACAACAACCAGGGAACATCATTAGTGCCACATTATCACAGCAGGACACTGGACTACAGACAGACACCACTGCAACTTTAGGCAGCCCCACAGTGGGTTGGCTTCCTCCTGTGTGGACACTGAACTGTATGAAGACATCCGACAAAAGCCTGAACAGGAAGCCAGGGCTGCCCAACCGCGTCTTCCCCACAGCGGTGGCTGAGCCTCCACATCGCTGCCTTTCGTGGACTTGCTATAAGAAGCATGTTTACAGCTGGGCACTGGTGTCTCTCACCTGCAATTCTGGCTATTGAAGAAGCTGAGATCTAAGGATCGAGGTTCAACACTAGCCTTGGCACACAAATCTCCAATCTTCCAGCAAAAAGCAGGAAGTGGAGGTGTGGCTCTAGTGGTAGAGCACCAGCCTTGAGTGAAAGAACCAAGTAGACTGTGAGGCTTTGAGTTCAAGCTCCAATAATGGCACAAAAGGAGGAGGAAGAGGAAGGGAGGAGAAGGTGGAAGAGAAGGAGAAGGGGAAGAGAAAGGAGGAAGAGGAAGAGGAGGAAGAAAAGGAGGAGCAAGAGGAGAAAGAGAAGGAGGAGGGAAAGGAAGAGAATGAGGGAAAGGAGGAGGAGGAGGGGAAGGAGCTGGAGGAGGAGAGGGAAAGGAGAAAGGAGGGGGAAGAGGAGGAGATGGTGGGAGGCCTCCACTGGATCCACGGCAGACAACCGGGAGAACAGCTACCCACCCGTCATAGGCATCCACGTCCATCTCGTACAGAGCCTCCTTGGCTTGATTGGGGTGTTCGGTAACTGTGGGGAACATCACAGGGTATGGTTTATACACACATCTGGGAATCCACGAAGGTAAGAGGCCATACGCCATTCCGTCACTGGTCACGGTGTGGTTGGGAGGCTTTCTGGAGGCCTTCCAGAGGAAACGGCCCCTCAGCTCTGACTACCGCCCCCTCTGCCAGGGCCAGCACTGTCCTCCTTGGGGGACGTCCCGGGGTGACACCTGCCATCGGCTGACTTCGCTGTCAGCAATCGTTTCTTTGAGGGTAGTGAACTCTGCACGGCTACCACTGTGTTTCTCCTGTTGTCGCGGTGGAAACGACGCGGAAGGGAGGTCTCGGTGCCTGGGTCCCCGACACACAATTCTGCATCCTGCTTTTCCTTCTACCTCGATCGTAGAAGGTGCGCCCCCCCACCGCCCCGTGCCAGCGGGACGGAGGCACACGCACTCACTGATGATGTCGGTGGTGATGGAGGCTCCCGTGGGCTCACGCCCGGTGTCCCCCCCCCGTCCCCACCCCGTGCTGCCCGCCCCCCGCCCCGTGCTGCCCCCCCACCGCCCCGTGCCAGCGGGACGGAGGCACACGCACTCACTGATGATGTCGGTGGTGATGGAGGCTCCCGTGGGCTCACGCCCGGTGCCCCCCCCCGTCCCCGCCCCGTGCTGCCCGCCCCCCGCCCCGTGCTGCCCCCCCCCCGTCCCCACCCCGTGCCAGCGGGACGGAGGCACACGCACTCACTGATGATGTCGGTGGTGATGGAGGCTCCCGTGGGCTCACGCCCCGTGCTGCCCCCCCCCGTCCCCGCCCCGTGCCAGCGGGACGGAGGCACACGCACTCACTGATGATGTCGGTGGTGATGGAGGCTCCCGTGGGCTCACGCCCGGTGCCCCCTCCCGTCCCCGCCCCGTGCTGCCCGCCCCCAGCCCCGTGCTGCCCGCCCCCCGCCCTGTGCCAGCGGGACGGAGACACACGCACTCACTGATGATGTCGGTGGTGATGGAGGCTCCCGTGGGCTCACGCCCGGTGCCCCCCCCGTCCCCGCCCCGTGCTGCCCCCCCCGTCCCCGCCCCGTGCTGCCCGCCCCCCGCCCTGTGCCAGCGGGACGGAGGCACACGCACTCACTGATGATGTCGGTGGTGATGGAGGCTCCCGTGGGCTCACGCCCGGTGCCCCTCCCCGTCCCCGCCCCGTGCTGCCCGCCCCCCGCCCTGTGCCAGCGGGACGGAGGCACACGCACTCACTGATGATGTCGGTGGTGATGGAGGCTCCCGTGGGCTCACGCCCGGTGCCCCCCCCCCCCCGTCCCCGCCCCGTGCCAGCGGGACGGAGGCACACGCACTCACTGATGATGTCGGTGGTGATGGAGGCCAGTGTGAAGAGCGGCGCCACCTTCCTCTCGTAGATCCGCTTGCCGTGGCCTTTGCCCCCAAAGGGGTTGATGAACACCAGTAAGTGCTTAGGTCTCGAGGCTGCCAAACAAGGCCATCACGTAAGCCAGTGACCATAACAAACCCAAGCACTCTGCTACCGACTCAGAGTGTGTGTGTGTGTGCGTGCGTGTGTGCGTGTGCGCGCGCGTGCACGCATGCTCCAGTTCTGGGGCTTAACTCAGAGGCTGGACTCTGTCCCTGAGCTTTTTCACTCTTACAACCAAGAGGAAAGCAGGCTACTCATAGCTATGGTGAGAACCACAACTCCACTTCTAGCTTTTTGGTGGTGAATCTGAGACAAAAGTCCATGGACTTTCTTGCTCAAGCTGGCTTTCAACATCAATCCTCAGATTTCAGCCTCCTGAGTAGCTACATTGACAGTAACATCCCTAAGTATTCTTAAATGTGAAATATGATGATGATAAAGACTTTCCTATTCTGGCTACAAATGTGGCTCAGTGATAGAGTGCTTGCTTAGCACACATGAAGCCCTGGGTTCAAGTCCTCAGTACCATATAAACAAAAAGCCAGAAATGGTGCTGTGGCTCAAGTGGTAGAGTGCTAGCCTTGAGCAAAAGAAGCTCAGGGACAGCGCCCAGGCCCTGAGTTCAAGCCCCGGGACTGGCAAAAAAAAAAAAAATTTCCTATTTTATGGAAAGAGAAAAGACACAGTGTAAGTGGGACAAGCTTTGCGCGTGTGCGTGCGTGCGTGTGCGTGTGTGTGTGCGCGTGCGTGTGTGCGTGCGTATGCGTGTGTGCGTGCGTGTGCATGTGTAAAGAAGGTCCCAGGAGTGTACAACTGTGTCTCCTGACCAGCGGGGGGGCTGCAGCCTCGCTCTGCTCATGTGAGGGAAGCCTGTCTGCTGGGAACAGAAGCAGAGGCTGAGGTCCAGAAGGAAGCATGGAGGAGAGCACACACGCACGCGCACACGCACAGTGCACGTACTCAGCCTCTGCAGCAGCTCTCGGAGGGTCTGCAGCCACAGCTGGCACAGCTGCTCCTCGGTGCTCCAAAAGGTCACCTGCGCCCACTTCCAGCGGTGATGTCGCGCCCTCTTCACGCAGTGCACTGCACAGAAAGCAACCCGGTCAGGGGGGCCACAGCCCTGGTGACAGCCACTCTCCAGGAGCTCGCGTCCTTCTCGCTGGTGAGGGGATTCCCAACGCACATTACAAAAACATGAGGGAAACTTCTCAGACCTTCTAAGCCACAGAGGGGACTAACAAAGAAGAGAGTCTGGGCATGATGGCAGACGCCTATAATCCCAGCACTCTGGAGCCTGAGTGAGGATCGCAAGTTCAAGACTAGTGTGAGCTACACATCATGAGACTTCGCCTCAAACACACACACACACACACACACACACACACACACACACACACAAGTTAGTAATCAGTTAAAAACAATCAAATAAAGAAAACGACAAAGGCTGGTCAACAGCCTGAAGGTGAACTAACAGCAGATCCTGGAAAACAGGAAGATTCTACAGAGGTAAATGAGCCACCCGCTGGGCTGGCTGACCCGTGGCCCGCCCTGTCCTTCCTGTCCCTGCATGGGCCGAAGGAGCCATGGGGGAGACCCCAAGGCGGGTCACCTGTGAACGCGTAGGGCTTCTCCATTTTCTGCCAGCGGCCGCTGCCGGAGTGTTTCCCGTGGGCGTCCGTTTCCTCCACGGTAATGAGCTCGGACACGGGCAGGGAGCAGACATCTGCAAAGACACAGCCTTGTGGCCATGGCTGGCCAGACCCCGCACCAAGGCCCGCTTGCCAAGAACCCAATCCCAAAGGGAGGCTGGCCACCATGTTTTAACTCAGAGCTAGAGGACAGACATGGGGTGGTGTTAGCCAAAGACGGGGTGTCTCACCCAATGACCCCCAAACATGGGCTGCAAATTGTCACACAGGAGCTGCTGAGCCATTCGAGCAGCAAATGCTGACAGGCCAGCCCCTGTGCGAGACAGGGAGCCAGGGCCACCAGGAGTGAAAGCGAGAGTGGGGGCCTGACTCGGGAGGGCTGGGGTCTGCCGCATGCATGCAGGACAGCCCTGGGCGTTTCTGTCTGGGCGTTTATTTTTATTGTGAAGGTCATGTACAGTTACAGGTGTACAAGTCAGGTAGTGAGTGCATTTCCTTTGAAAGTGTCACCTCTTCCCTCCTTTTCTCCCCGGTTTTCCCTGACCCCTCCCCACGAGTTGTATAGTTCATTTTCAACACAATGTCTCATGACCACCACTGCTGCACTGATGGCTTTTTGAAATAGGTCTCACTATGTAGCTCCAGCTGGCCTCTAAGTCCAAACCTTCCTGTCTCTGCCCCTGCATGGTGTGCTACCATGTTCTATGCAGGCCTTCTCTCGCCTGGGAGCCCAGGAGGCAGACGAATCAACCCTGGTTCATGGGCGTGCTGTAAGTATGGGGTTCATGGGCATGCTGCAAGTATGGGGTTCATGGGTGTGCTGCAAGTATGGGGTTCATGGGCATGTTGCAAGTATGGGGTTCATGGGTGTGCTGTAAGTATGGGGTTCATGGGCATGCTGCAAGTATGGGGTTCGGATCAAAAGCAAGCTCTCAGCTGGGCACACAACTGAGGAAGACGCAGATCCAAAGGAACATGCCCAGGAGAGCACCGAAGATTTCAGAGAGCAAGACCCTCTTTGGGCAGACTGGCTTCCAAAATCTTTTTCACAAAGTACTGGCAGGGATTCACAGTGTATTTCTGACACAGAACAACAATACAATTTGCAGCTAGCTTCCTAGGTTAGCTACAGAATGCAAGGTGGCTAAATACAGAGTCGTTGACAAGAATCAAACAGCACAGTAAGTTGCGGTATCATTTTGCATTGGTTGTAAAGCTGTGGCCTGCGGGAAGTGGCCAGAAGCTAGGGAGGCATACGGAGCCCGGCTTCTGACTGCTGCAGATCCTGAAGGACTCGGAGCAGGGCCGGCTCCGGAAGTATATGTGAGGAGCAAGTCACGCCTCGGGCCGGCTCTCTTCCCATTTCCACCCGCTCCTCCTCCTCCCCTGGCTTCTGCAGATGCAGCGCGCTCTTCCCAGACTGCCAGCTCCGCCACGGGCATCCTGACGGGCGCCGAAGCCTCTGCGGGAAGCTTTGGGGGCTCCTCTCGGTCTCCTGCAGGCCCGAGCACAGCAGCGGGCACAGCGGCGGGAGGGACGAAAGCTTCTCAGTATCCTAACAATGGGCGGAGTCAGGCCACAGTACTACCAAAGCCATGCATCACACCACCAAACAACAAAGCAAGGCCAGTGACACACAGCAACCCACTTAGAGTCCGTGGATGAATCGCATCTACTCCCGCAGATCCAGAGCGACGCTGCACAGCTCCTGGGCCAGCCTCTACTGCACACAAGGCCAGCACTGCCAACCCAGGCTAGAGCTCCGAAAATGGCTTCTCATGACTCAAGTACGCTGACACACATACTACTTCCTTTCTTCCTGGGCTTTGATAAGCCACATCCCAGCTCCAAGGAATTTTGAGGTCACGTGGTACACTGTGGCCCAAACGTAAACCTTATTTGCTTTATTCAAGAGAGAGAGAGAGGAGGAGGAGGAGGAGGAGGAGGAGGAGGAGGTGGAAGAGGAAGGGAGGGAGGGAAGGGAAGGGAAGGGAAGGGAAGGGAAGGGAAGGGAAGGGAAGGGAAGGGAAGGGAAGGGAAGGGAAGGGAAGGGAAGGGAAGGGAAGGGAAGGGAAGGGAAGCAAGCGAGCCAGAAGGGGTGTGGCTGCTCCCGCAGACCGTGTCCCTCTTCTGGACCAGGGCCACCTGTGCATGTGCAGAAGACCTGGGTCCTTCCCAGCCCAAGTCACATCTGCATGCTGCGGCACAACGCTCTGCTCTTCAAAATGCTCAGTTTTTACTAAAAGGCAAAGAACTGGACCAGGAATGGCAAAAGCAGACAGCAGCTTCCTGAGGAACGCAGGGCACTAACTGGCCCCACCAGTCAGAGTGCACCTCTGGCCAGTCACGGGGACAGCGGGCAGCGGAGGAGGTGTAAGATGGCCACTGTGGGGGTGCCGCACTCAGTGCCCACCCCGCCATGCGCACGTCCATGTGGGCAGCAGGGAGGATGAGGGTGAGCAGGGAAGGAGCAGGGAAGGCTGCCGGGCCGCGCACCGCTGCAGCAACTCCTGCGGAGAACCCACTGGTGGGGAAGGAGAGGGATGGCCAGAAGCAGGGCTGCGAGCAGAGCCGGCCCGGCCCTGTCTGCGGCAGCCCCTTGCTGCGCCCACATCCCTGGCCTCAACCAGCGCCTGCCAGGCTCCGGCGCCAGGTGCCGCTGCTCCGCAGTCTTGCTCATCACTGGGTGGTTTTGTCTCTGTCCTCAGAAACCAACCCGGCCCCTTCCCTCTTCCTGGAGATGGGAGCAGAGCCGAACATTTCGGACCATAACAGGAGGCGATGATGCGTTTTCCCCTGCGTTCACACGCGAGCTGCGCCTGTCATGTAACACAAGGAGCATGGGGACAGGAAGGCTCTGCCCGAGCCCTCTGCTGACCAAAATGCCAGGAGCTGCCAAGTAGAACTGTCCGGCCCCGAGTGCCCCACGCACAGCCTCTGATGTTTAGTCTACCCGTGCTACTCTTCCAGAAACTTCCCTCCCTTCCCATCCCCAGCCTAGGCCCAGCATACTTCCACACACTCACGCATGATCCAGGGCCCTCGTCTCCTCTGCCACCATCGCCACAACCCCCCCCCCCCTGCAAGTCTCCCGTGGTGCGGTGCCATGCTGCATGGCCATCCCTGTGGCCACCCCAGGCTCCCCCGTGGGGACAGCCTCGTGAGGACCCGGGCACAGCTGGCATGACAGATGTCACCACAAGAGCAGCGAGGCCCTCCGTGACACCGGTGCTGTGGTGACACAGACGGAGCACACGCGTGAACGCACACCCACCAGGACGGGGTCAAGGCAGTCAGAAAGGTGCTGCCGGCCTCCGCAGCCCGGGGGCCGCTGCACCCCCAGCCTCCGCAGCCCGGGGCCCCTGAGCCTCTCAGAGACACACAACTAGCAGGGAGCAGGCTCACCGCGGCTGCAACCCTCCTGCGGCTCTTCACAAATGTCAGCTCTGGTGGGAGGTGGACAGAGGGAACAGGCAAGAAAGCCGGCCCCCGGCACTGGCCAGCAGTGCTGGCGCGCCGTGCCAGGCTGGGGCTGCGTCCCCCGGGGCAGGCATGGTGAGGTGACTTACATGCCCAACCTGCACAGCAACAATGCCCTAGAGGAGGGACACGCCAGACACCTGGGCGGGGCTCCACAACCACCCTGCAGGGAGACACAACGCAACGTGTTTCCACGGCAATGCGCGCACTGGCGCTGAATGCACACTGACCCTCATTAAGATCACAGGTGAGGTGAGCCAAGCTCAGAGACACAAACGCAGCATGCTTCCTCTACAGGCAGAAGCTACACCTGATACACACCAGGACATGATCAATGATGCAGAACTCGGCATTCACATACAGCAAAATCAGAGGATGTTCTTAGGAGAGGAATACCAAGTTGCCATGCCTGTGTGTATCCCATCATATAATATGATACTTATTGTGATATATCCCATGATATAATATGATACTTATTGTGATGAAAAAAATTACAGGTGGGCCCTTGCCTGTGGAAGGTCAGGTGAGAAGCAGCACTCCCGTGCCAGGGCAACCCAGAAATGCCATGCAGGTGACAGGTGGTTGGAGAGCGGACCCCTCGCCCGTCCCTCCTGCCCAGCTGGCAATGCTGACAAGGCGGCAGAGGAGGCTTTGCACACGGCCCCACGGTGCTGGACGGCCATCAAGTCCATCAGCTGCTGCTTGGGAAGCAGAGCCCCTGGGGAGAGCCCGGGGGCCCCTCAAGGTCCCTTCCACAACCAGGACACATTCCACCAGCAGTTACCTGCGGCCCTGAGGTTCCCACAGACCTACAATGCACAGGTTCAGGGAGCTGCCTCTGGGCCTGGGCGTGACAGGGAGGGCAACTCTCCGACCCACAGCCCTGCGGTGCTGGCGACCCTGAGGCTGGGTCCCAACCCCTGGGGTGATGGGGGTTCCCGCTGCCCCCAGCCACAGAGACCCGTGTGAGAGGGCGGGGCCGGCAGCTGCCAGGCCCCTTCCACAGCCTCCCCTGGGTCTTAGGAACCGGCCGGAGCTGTCCCCAGGCGGACTCAGATCAGGAAAAGGGCCAGGAGGACGGGCCTCTGTTGAGAACATGTCCTCCCACGGCTTGAGTGTCCTTTCAGGTAATTTTCCACTCCTGACAACGCACAGGCCCCTGCTGACAACCTCGTGCTGACCTCCTACCACTGCCCAGGGGGAGCTGCGAGGGACAGGGGACCACAGACCAGCACTGAGCGGGCACCCACTGACGACGCCAGCCATTTCCGAAAGCTTCGGTCACGAATGTGAGCGTCTGAAGGCCACACAGGACCAGCACTCAGTGAGGTTTCCTCACAAAGAACGGCCTCCCGGTCCCACCGTGAGAAGCGAGTCCAGACTTGGCTCCGAGTCTCCGGGCAGGCGGGCAGCGTGAGGCTGGGGACCCCAGGGCCTGGACATAGCCCGGCCACCACTCCCTCTCGCTGTGAACGTGGAGTCACACCAGCATGCGTGCACGCCAAGAGTGCGTCTACGTGAAAGCTGACTTTAAAATACTGGCTGAAACACACATAAGCCAGCCTGTGCCTGCCTTCTCCACAGCCTCTCACGA